GACATCCTAGCTAGCTTCCGCTTCTTTGTTTATCCAGAAGCTTTGATGGGAATGAAAATCTTGTGTCTTTGTAGGAACATCCAAAGTTACATCAAAAGCTGTTGAGTGAGACGAACTGTTTTTTCATTCGTAAGGTAAGTGTGTTTTTATTTATGGTTACACTCTTTTTTATGATAAACTGGCTATAAGAAACGAGTACTGGACAGTCAGAAAAATTTAAGAACTTCAGTACTCGAAGGAAAAAAATTCAGAAACTATTAAATCGCGATAAAACTGAGAACAACGAAATTTTGTAAAGTCCAACAACATGATTATTCAGACGGCCTTTCTTGAACTGAAAAAAAGGTCACGAACATTTCATAACATAACATTAAGAAACTGGAGTACTCAACATCGACCTTTGTTTTTTATAAAAAAATGAGTGTCATTATTCAAGCTCGAAAAACTTTTTTGGCCCCTCTTCTTTCAAATACGTTTCGCTGGCCCGGCAGATACATAAAATCCGACAATTTCGGACGATCTAACTGTTGGACAGAAATTATTTGTCCGAAATCTTAGCTATGTCCCCGTTATGTTCAAAAGTTTTAAATTCTGAAATATAATTCAATATAATAAATATAATACAAAGAAATATATTTCAGTCAATGCAAAAAAACATTTCATTTATATGGGCAAATCATTTCTAGGGGGGGGGGTGAATTTCTGGATATTATTTTAGACAGTTCTGATTCCTGGCCTCGTATTCATCTTCAATCTCATTAGCATATTATTCAATACTTTTTCTATCAATTTTTCTCAAATCGCTAATACCAAAAAGGAGTGTTTCATCAGCAGTCAGGGGTGCAGTCAGGGGTGCAGTCAAGGGCGTCACTTCATATTTTTTGTTTGACTGTATTTTTGCCCTGCGGAAAAAACTTTGCCTTGCCAAAAGTTGAAAAATCCATAAAGGAAAATGAAAACCAAAGAGGGTTTAAAGATACATTATTGTCAAAGAATGATAAATTGCGTTGTTTTTTATTCTAAGACGTCACATTTTTGCTTTAACAAATTTTTGATAATTTGCTTTAGACCACTGTGGTCAGGTTGCGGTTCTCCTAGGAAAAACTTATCTTAGGACGTGCTGAGGAGAGGGGGTTTCTGGGGGGTCACTTGAATAAAATTTCTAGGTAATAATCCAGCCTTTCCATTGCCACAAACTGTCATCTATAGATACAATAATGGCAAAAGTCTATGAATGAAATGAGGTAAAAGCAGTTTGAGCCTTTGACTGCCTGAGTGTTGAAAGTATTTTAAGAATTTCTCACTTTTGTGGGCTTGGGCTAAAGAAGTTAACAGGCTTCTAAATATTTGCAACATTGTGTCGATTGTGATCGAATCTAGTTAACGAATTAAACGTTTTTTGTTTTAAAATTCATGAGAAATTTTAATTTTCAGAAATTGTTGTGTTAAGGTATCAGTTATACTCAAATTATTTCAAATAGCAAACAGAAGTAAAATCCACCAGACAACGGCCTTGATTGGAATATTCATAAGAGAAGTGAGAAATTCTGATTTTCCAACAACAATCTAACAAGCATTTATACTTCTTTCATAAATTTTAACATAACATAACGACATGTGAACTGAAATAAATAAATCTTTTGATATATTCAGATATTCTTATGTTTATTTAGCTTTAAATTCTTTCTTTTCAAAAGAAATTGATTAGATAAACATAGACAACAGTGTTAAAGTACCGACAAGACCAGAATTTTTCCGACAAAATAGCAGTTAAGCTGTACGGGGGGTTTGTCCTCTCTGACCCGCCTTTATCTACACCTCTGCCACCAGAGCAGTTTAGCCACTATAGCAATTTTAGTAACAAAACTGCCATCATAGAAATTTTAACAACCAAAATAGCCACACGAGCAATTTAAGCAGTGGCGGAAAATCAGTCTTTCATTTGGGGGGGGGGGGGGCAGGCCTACAATTTTCCGACTACAATTTTCCGACAAGATAACATCTCGGATCATGTCTCGGCCCAGCTTTTTTGCCAACCCGTTGCCGCCATCTTTACTCCCCATGTGAGGACCGCAATTCTCCGGCCGAAACAATAGAGCGGGCTATCTAGCTCCATTATATCTATGGTGATTTCAAATCGTAGCTAAAATTCTGAGAAATAATTTCTTTGCACCAATTGAGGTCGCTCCTCTTTTCTTCTGATGTATTGAAATTTGGAATTGGCGATAGGTTATATTTTTCATTGAGAACGTAACCCTTCACCAAGAAAGAAAAGATCTTCAAAGAAGCGCAGCCATATCAGTCTTTCTTCGTTAAGTTGTTTTACGCTCAAGATAGCATTTCGCATTATTTGGGCGAAGCCACCAGTAGCGACTACTGGTGACCAGTAGTCGCTACTGCTAATATACCCTAGGTACCAGACCCACTCTTTGAAAAATATCTTTCTAACTATCTGAATAGTGGGGGCATGTACCCCCTGTGTCCCCTGTGCCCCTGGTTCCTTAGTCTATGAAATCAAGCAATTCTTCGAAAAAGAAACCGGGGTTGCCATATCATGTTTAGAACAAAATGAAATGGTTGCCAACCCTGAAAAGTTCCATGCTATAATGCTTAGGAAAAACAAGACAAATACCAGTGGAGAACAAATAAACATTAATGGCAAAAAATAAGATAGATCTGAAGGATCATTGGTATTTTTAGCCGTTAAGTTGGATTATAAACTTGATTTTGACCCACATATTTCGGGTTTATTGGTTTCAAGGAAAAAAAGATTCTTGTTCAGAGCTTTATATATTCTATTTTCAGTAATTGTTACTTAGTCTGGTACTTTTCATCTCCTGAATCATTACAGAAAATTGAACAGTTGAAAGAATGTGCCTTAATATTTCTCTTTAATGATCATACTAGTTCGTATAACGATTTGTTTTAAATCAGACAATAGCACGATGATTGTTACTTTTCAACGAATTATTTGCATTGAAATATTTTAAACAGTAAAATAGTTGAGCCCACCTTTAATGCAGAGTATTTTCAAACGACAGTCATCAAATTATTCATTAAGACATCCAAATAACCTAGCCCAGGTTAGAACTAATCAATCAACATTTGGATCTAAAATCCTAATGTTCATAAATTTGGAAGGACCTACCAAACGAGCTATAATCTGAAGAGAACTTGAAAGTTAGAAAAATCTAGTAAAACAATGGAACGGACCAGATTACAAATTTAGTGCCTTTCGAGCCTGCCGGTCAATGCAATTTCATCTTGACTTAGCATCCATAACTTATATATATATATATATAATCAATATATTAATTTGAAGCAATGGAGCTGTGTTATAATTAATAAATGTATTAAATCTGTTAGCCTTTCATTACACATATGATATCTACATATTGGTGGCTACAGTTTACATCGAATTAGAATAGAATTTGCTTACTTTTTAACAGCATTGTTTTTTACTACCTTTTCTCTGATGGTTAGCGCCACCTCGTGTGTGGTTTTATTCATTATTCGAGGGCATAGCTTCAGCGTGTAGTAGGATTAATGTTGGTGGGGGGGGGGGGGTATCTATGGTATTTGAGGATTTAAGGTATTGGTGATATTCGATCCATTAAAGCGAACCAACGGTGAACTAGAAATACCAACGGAATTTCTAGCGAACCAAGCGAACCAACGGAAATACTCTACGTTAGGGGGAAAAGAAGGGGAAATGTAGTGGATACCGTATTTCCTCTAATGAACGCCGCCCTCTGATAAACGCCGCCCTCTGATAAACGCCGACCTCTGATAAACGCCGCCCTCTGATAAACGCCGCATCTTGAAAAGCGGCGTTCATTACAAAACACACCACTATGCGAAAGCTATAAAAGTTTCTATGTCATAGAGACGAAGACTCTGACGGGGGCAGGGGTATTGACATTCCTTGACATTTCCATAACGTGATGACGTCCTTTGTAAACTTTCAAAAATTGTGCACACAATCTTTATCACGTGTTTTGGGAAAAGAAAACGTTGTTTAAAGTCTGTTTTTTCATCGCATTTTTCATTTGAAAAACTTTTTATTTTGTATTAAACGCCGCCCTCTGATAAACACCGCCCTCTATTAAGCGCCGCATCCAAAATTGGAGTTGGTAATAAACGCCGCGGCGTTCTTTAGAGGAAATACGGTATGCAACAACGATCGATTGAAAACAAGATAAATTACTAGAAAAATGGAAACTGATCTGAGAGTGCGCCGTAATCCCTGCGCGGCAGCCCTGTGGCTCCATTGGCACTGTGAAACCGTGTTCCTCTATGCGCACTCGTCACATCAACCAATGAAGGATACATAAATAGATTTATCTACATTTATCTAAAATGGTTTCTTATTTTATGATCCTGTATACTTTGTAAGTATACTTCGAATGTTTAAATTTGATTCTAGCCAAGATTTTCGCAGTTTTAAGGTTGTAGTTTATGTGCAAACGAATCCAGGTCAATTTGTTTTGTACTTTTTGACTGCATCGGTTCGGTAAAAAAAGGTTTAATTTTTTTAAAAGAGAGAGAGGATAAAAGTCCCCAAATTTTCCAATAAAATTGAAACACGGTTTTTAGAAAACTTGCAGAGGCACGTCATCTAGATTAGCCTCTGACCTTGTTTAGAAGTCACAGGTGAAAAGCTATCATTTCACGCCAAATCACCCAAAAGGCCAGGCGTGCCACTAGCATCAACTAGATTACAAGCAATAACTAAAAGTTTTGAGAAAGGTTGGGTAGCACAGATAACTGTCTGTTGGAAATTTGAGCTCAACAGCCCTTTCAAATTAAGATGTGTTCATGTTTGAATTTTCACGCAATGACCATAATGATACTAAAAATAGCAACAGTTGCCATTTATAATCTCTGGTTTGAAGCATCAAGCTGTTTTTATAAAAAATATTAACTTTCTGTTTATGCTGTTTTTTGAAATTTTTAAAACTCTTGTAGCTGGAAGCAGAGCATACCAGTTTGTGATGTTCTGATAAGATGTTTGAAACTCAGTTGTCCCTAAATCACAATGATGACGATCAGCAGTCTATTCAAGAAGATTTTCTTTGGGACCTGTGTTGCTGTTTTACTTGCGCTAGTACTGCTCTGCAATTTTTCAAGTTACTTCACAGGTACTATTAGTAACTTTTCCTAACAGTGATTAATCTTTGTATTACGTATACTTTGTAAATATAGTGTAGTTAGATTTAAGGATGTCATGATAGCATATCAGTCAGGTGACCTTCAAATACTGAAAGGGCACAATCAAATCTTAAGGTGCATTGGTACTTATGCACCATAATGGATATAAAGTTATTAATGAAGCAAAATCAAAACGACTTATGAACAAGTTTTTTTTTGGATTTTTTACCTCCCATTCCTGAGAGTGCAAGACCTTGGAAGATGACCAAAATATGTCCAAGTTTCTGGTTGGATGACTCTTGCTTTTGTCAGCTTTGTTTTGACCTATATGTCCTTTGACCTCTAACCTAGCTGAAGAGCCCCATTGAGAAAAATATCTTCCTGAGCACACAGTTATTGAACAATTTGTGGAAGTCTCATTCACAACTGTCAGCCTTACTTGAAAACATCCAAGCTTATTCATCAATTTTTTTAACTCTTAAGGCTCCACAGTTACCTACAGCACAAGGCTAGGATATTATATTTGCTCTAGGAAGTTTCATTCCAACAAAGTATTGTGGAGCCTGGTGCTAATAACATATGAAGGGCCCTTGTTTGTAAATTTTCATTAGCCAAAATTATTCTTTAATTTACCTTTCATCAAAATTCTAAAGCCTCAAAAGATGTGCCCTGTAACTTCCTATTGAAAGAAGATTTGCTAATATATGTTTCCAGATTTTTTCTATTGAGAACAACATTGCATATAGCAAAGTTGCCAGTCTGGTGTTCAGATGTATTACAGGCGATAGGCCTACATTTATATGACATTATCATTATAAATATATTTTACATGGAAATGGTCTGTTTCTGAATAACACTATTTTTAATTTAGGTATTTTATAAGAATTTATTTTCCAAAACAAAAATTGAGTGGGTTTTTTCCACAAAATATATGTTGCTAGCTTGACTCTTTTTTCTTAATCTATCTGTTGTATCAAATTTACTCTATATAATTATGACTGTCTCCATGCAAGTAAAAAAATGCCATGTTGGCAATGGGTTGTCTGTTTTCTGAATATCTCTTTGAAATTTACTGCTTGTATGATATTTGCTTTCTGAATTTAACTGATAACCATTAAAATAATGCTCATTTTTGTATATTTTCTCAAGTTCAAAATACAATTTCATTAAATATCACTTTTTTCAAGTTCATTTGTAATGGATAGAAAACACTTTTCTTGTAGAGCAATGGAAAGGAAACATGTTTAAACAAATAGCATACAAAAAGAGCAACAAGTTTCCAGCACCAGTGTTGATGCCACATCAACCTCTTGCTGGAGTACTCCTGTCAGTGAACTTTAATCATCCGTTTTACAGTGTCATACCTCTCCTTAAAGAATATTATGAACCAGTTTTTGAAAAAATAATCTTTTGCGGACCTGAGAAGAGTTCTGAGTTTAATGTTGTAGTTATTGAAGGCAGCAGAGGGCATTATGGTTATATGTGTATAGCTGAAGCAATTAAGAAGTACCCAAACTACCTTGGCTACTTATATGTAAACGATGATATGGTTGTTAACTGGTGGACCTTAGTACAGAAGCCTAGAGACAGAATTTGGTATGGTAAAGATATTATCAATGAGGCAGGAGCCAATATGGATATGCCTGCACCTTGTTGCTGGCACTGGTGGAACGATGTTGGTGCTTTAGAAAATTGCAGGAAAGCTTTTGATGCCCTAAATTCAACATCATCATGGAAAGAAAAGAAACATTTTGAGATATACTCCAACAACACAGGTGGCATTCGCTTATGTGTTAGAGCATGGTCAGATTTCATGTATATACCCCAAAGGCTGGCACAGTCATACCTAACTTTCTCAGAATCTTTCTATAGATACCAAGTTTTTCTTGAAGTTGCTGTATCGACAATTCTTCTTATGCTTGATGCAAAAAATAAGATAGTAAATTTGGATGGAGCATATCTTCCTGACATATATGGAGATATCGATTTCTCAGATGGAAATATTTTTGCAGATAATTATGACACAAAGAGGAGCTTTTACCATCCAGTAAAACTTTCAGTTGAAGGAAGGGCATTATCTCTATTCAAGAACACCATTATGAGGAATAGTATACAGTGTGTAAAAAATTTAGCTAGAAATGCTACACTTATATGTTAATGTCTCTGGAGTTATTCAAGATAGATTTGAGGCAATAATGTACACGATTGTGAGAAAATATTCTCCAAATATTATTCCAATAATTCTAAATCAGTTAATTGCAAATTTTGTCAAATATTTTTGTGTCATCACAAGAAATGTAGGGAAATTGATGCTTCTAATTCTAATCAGAATTCCCATTAAAAGTTGTGTTCTTTACTGCTCAGCTATAAGATACACTCTTGATGACTTTAGTGTGTAGAAATTGTGATGTTAATATTTTGAGACGGAAACCCTAGAAAATAATGTAGAGTCAGTGAATAATATGCTAATCCATTTTTATTCATAAAGAAAGTCTGAATCCAGAGTTTTTTCACTTCTTCTTTTCTGTTTACCATATTTCCTCTAAAGAATGCTACGGCATTCATAACAAAATCCAAATTTTGGAAGCGGCGTTCAATAGAGGGCAGCGTTCATTAGAGGAAATACGGTATTGCTACCCTGTTTGTATCCTGGATCCGGCCATTGGCAACAAAATAATGAAAGTAGTGTACCATGTGGTGCTCACATAAAATTTATTTGGAAACTCAACAATTAAAAATGAATCTTTAGGCTCTTGGGCAAAGGCTACCCAATTTTCTCTGCAAAAGAGCCATGAGGACATTGTTCACTTTCCCAAAGCAGGTAGAGATAATGATTTATGTGGAGGCATTTAAAGAACATGTTAGTCCTGGGTTGGGAATTAAATTGTCCTAAGTGTCTAGTTGTTTCATCCAGTTACATAAAGTATTCCTTTTCAATGTATATTCTATTCAGAGGAATTTTGCTTTTTAATTAGCAATTTTCATTCTGCTGGAATACCATCATCTTCTCCTTCTTCCTTTCTTGACAAACAAACAGCCTCTGGTCGCAAACACACAGCTTCTGATTTGGGTGACAAACACACAGACTCTGATGTTTGATCATTTACCAGATCTGTTTCTGTATTGCTATTGCCAATACCCCTCTCTTCAGTTGAATTTTCAATACTGCTTGGGTCAGTCTCTGATGATCTCTGATTGCAGTGGCAAGCAAATGCTATTTTCAGAAGCACAAAGAGGACTGGAACAGCAACCAGGGAAACATGATAGACAATGAATGTAGCCTTATCTGTGGATATGCTAGTACAAAATGTGATGAAAGTGACCAATGGAACAATCAGGGTTTTTAGTAGCAAGTAAATGTGTGTGCGGTGGCCAGCAGAACCATTTGGTATGGCCCAAGAATGCATTAGACGATTTCTATTCCAGTATGCTAGCACAAAGAGTGTAAACTGCATGAAACCAGCACCAAATAAAATAACACAGCTAAAACGAACAGCAATCTTCTCATTGTGGCTGACATGACCAGTGAATTTGTTAACCAATGTTGAAACAAATGGTGTACCAGCTAAAAATGCTAGAAAAAGGTTGTTGCAAAGATTCATGGCTGCTGTTAGTAACTTTATTTGATGTAGAATTGAATGGTGAACAAACCATAAAATAGCAACTGCAGTGAAGCATCCCATGTAACCAACAAACATTGGTCGCATGTTTATTAAGGTCCTTCCGAGTCCATCTTTTTTAACAGCAGAATCCTTTGGAAAATCCTCAGTGGTTATGTCTAACACCAAGAGAGTAGCGACAATAGCAATTGCTGCATCTGAAAAATACTCAATTCTTTCCTTGTCAATCTTTCCTGCGAGAACGGCAATCCTTGACCTCCCCTCAATCAAGGGACAGCAATATCGTCTGTTGCAGTAAGCAAGCAACCGCCGAATTAATGGTGTAAATATCACACTGACAATCAAAACCCAAGAAACCACAACATCAAGAGCACTAAAGGCTGCCGCTAGAATGAACAAAGTGCAATTTATGCCGATCTTACCGAATATCTGCGCCTTCTTTACCCGCATTTCTTGTTGATCTAGTCGTTGAATACTTGAAGAGAGTAATCTGGGAGTAAAAAAAGCATAGCCGAACACGCAACTTTCTATTAATTCAAGTACCAAAAGTACGATACACGGAAGAACAACTGCAATTTCAGTCTGGCCATATTTTCCCTCAAGGGCAACGGTGAATGGCAAGAATGTTGTGAACATTAGGGAAATGAGTGTCATAACAACAATGAAATCATCAATTCTTGCGATCACCTTGAATCTAAGAATATGAGATTCCCATATTGTACAAATCACCAGAAAGCCCACGAGGAAAACCAATAATTGCGGATATTTTCTCAACAGGCCCTCTTTCAAGGTCTCATTTCCTTCGAGCTCGAACTTTCGGATTGGTATAACAAGCAATGTTGCTGCGGTAGCAAACACTGCATCGCTGAATCCTTGTAACCTTGCTGGTGAAACAATATCAGCTCTTTCAGACGACCTACATGGCTCCATTTTTTGTACTTTAAAATATATAAATCTTAAGAATTTTTCTTAAGTTTCGAAGAATGTTATTCTCACGCTCGTCCCAGCTAATGCAAAAACTCCTCAGTTGAGTCTGTTTATTTACTTCCTGTTCGTTTCTTGTGGCAAGAGAATAAGGTAAGCTGCTATTTTGGGGGAACCTCTTTTCCATAACGAAATCAACGACAAAATGGCTGCAAAATGACGTATTCTTCCATTTCTTTATGAAGCAGGCCAGTCGCTAAAGGGGGGCCATTGGAGCGTGACGGCCCCCTGTAAAAATAATTCCATTGTAAAAACTTTTTGAAATTTAAGGGTGCTTTGTTTAAATTTCCAAACTTGTCGGCAAATGGGAGTTGGAAACCCCCCTGGAGCACAATAGTTAGCGGCGGGCCTGATCAAAAGTAATCAGAATTTGTTTCTTGTTATCAGAATTATTTGTCTATTATCTGAATTTGCTGTTCGTAATCAGAATTTGTTATTCACAATAACAATTTTTGCAGATTTTCGTTTTCAAAACCATAAATTTGCGATTACAAAACAAAAGTTCCTAATTACAAAAAGCAATTTTAGAATGAAATGAACGAAAACTTGATGAACAAAGCAGGAAATTCCAAAGCTTCTCCCTGATACTTTGTAGTTGGTCTATAATCGTTTTACAAGCATCTTACTATATATAATTTCTAACAGACGAGCCACTCTGCCACAAAATCGACGCTGTTTGGGGACGTGTCATGAAGTATCTACGACAAGGGGCGAAGAATATGTGGCTTTATCCAAAAATGTGGATCAGTTTTGCGTATGGAGAGGAAGAAGGCAACAAGGAAAAGGACAAAAGTAAGCAGAGAGCAATACTTTCATGCTTTCAGAAAAAAATTGAGGCATCCAAGGAAAGTTCAAGCAGTTGTATAAGTTCATCTTCAGATTCTGACTGTTTATATCAATTTGAACTTTTCTTTTGCAGTCAATGACAGCATCATATAATTCTAAAACTTTTAGTTGGATTTGCTCAAAACTTTGCAAATATTTCTTGTGGCCCATTGTGAAGCATTGAAAATGTTTGGTGGCCCCGGCCCATATCCTCCGCCCCCTGTAGCAGATACTTTATGACACGTCCCTAACAAAATTGAATTTGTGACCTATCTTGAGAAAAAAGTTTGTCTTTACAATATTGCATGCTAAGGTAACAATTACCATAAGGTAAGTGTACCAAAACGTTCTGCCGTTGTTATAGATTGAAAAAAGAAACAAGCAATTGTTTACTGTTCATTTCATCAATTTTATTTATTTATCTGCCTATAGGACACATATATTTGATGAAGTTTTTTGTGTTTAGCAAGTATGGCGCGAAGATCACATTTCTCAGCAGAGGCGGAAAAGCATTCTAACAGTGAATTATCGCTCTAAATAACTCAAATTCAAGTTCAAGAGTATTTGTTGGAGAAGGAATTCTATAAGGTAAATAAACAGTTATTTTACAGTAACAAAACTTTTTTGGTTATTCTGTCTCATTTTCTTTTGAATGGAGCCTCTAGTACCTTTGTTGCTTCTTTGAACTGAGCAAATGCCATCAAAGATATCTTTGATTCCATCGAGGAAATCTCTTTGTTATACATATTACTTATCATGCAATAGACTTTCTTTTTAAAATTTCATTCCAACCCTGAGATTTCAAGCACTACATATTCAAGACACATTCTAGTTAATTTTCTAAACAGTCTACATAGTCTTTTATTAAATAATTTGCAATCTAGAATTAGCTTTTTCATTACAAGATACATCTGGCATGAATATTCACATGTATTTCATCACAGCAAATTTTTGCATGCTTGATCTTCTTTAGGATACGTTGTGCAAGATACAATTGCAAGAAAGACGTTTTTATTGCTTGCCGGCATAAGCTGGATTGTCGTACTTAGCTTTTGCGCCTTTGTAAATCGGATTCTCCTCCTGCCGAAGAAGAAAAGGAGTAAATGAAACACAATGAGCCTTTGGTTTTGAAGTTAAATCGTAGATTTTTCTTCCGGAACATTCTGAAATCTGAAACTGTACTGGCACTTTATGGTGACGGTCCCTTTTTGATAGCTGGCTGGCAAAGTTGTTAGTTGGTCGGTAAATGTACCCGGAATTAGGGTGAAAAGGACAGCACTGTCATCATATATGTCTCGCCTTTTTCTACATTTATAAATGCAAAGATTGGTATGTATTAAGAGAAATGATGAATTCCTCCAGTTCTAAGCATGCTAATTTCAGGTTTGTCACCCATGGCCTAAATTGTGATTTGAGTTGTTTGGCCAGTGAACCTAAGTCACTTTCTGGGCGGCCTTTTTCATCCTACTTCATATATTGAAATTTTTTAACCGATTTTTGAGATTTTGTGGTTTTCTTGAGTCAATCGAATGAGGGTTAGGCAACTGCCTTATATCCATTTTTCTTAAGTAAAATTCAAAATCTAAAGCTGGCATACAACACAATTTAAATACGAACGCGATGGAGTTCGCGAAAGAATCAAAAAGCAGAAATTATGTAATGGAACAAGAGGAAGATGATGTCGTTTTCCTTAAATAGTTTAACTTTTCACTTCGAACCAACTATAAGTACCACTGAAGTTTACAGAAATTACATCTTCAAAGTCCTTGCATCCACAACATTTGCTGCACTGGCTGTGTTTTAAAATGATTTTTGTTTGAAGCTGACAGGTAGCATCTAAAATCATTTTTTTGCTAATTCATCAAAGCGCGAGTTATGCAACAAATGTTCCATTACATAAATAATCAACATTCAACTAAGTCTCATTATTAATTCATTTGTCTTATGCATGCTATTCATGATTGAGTGTGGGATATTCTGTGGCTACTACAAAATACCTTCACATACCTTATTCCATTTTGACTTAAGTCTGTCTTTCTCAAACTTTGAGTATTCAAAACGATCCTGCAATAGAAGAAACAAAGAGTAAATTTATGCGTACCGAATCTGAAAATGCCAGAAAACTGTAAGAGTACTGTCTTGAAGAAAGTTAAATTTTACTTCTCAATTCTTAAATTATTCATGATTGAAGAAACTTAAAAGCTCTTTTTCTGACAAGAAAGTGATGTCTTTTTTTCCAACCAATTTACGAAAGTTAGAACCTTGCATTTCCTTTGAAAGGAATCTGAAGAATTTAGAAAGGCTATGTTGCAAATTATAGTTTTTCATAGCCAAGTTTCTACCTGCCATTTCAACGAAATAATAAAGAGCGGACTCATGCTTTGTTTCATTAACCTATTATCGAGATGATTTAGTCACGTTTCTCGCCAGCATTCAAATAATTCTTCTTTAGTCAGTCGCTCAGTAAATTAATTTGGTTAGTGATGTATTTTAGCAAGAATTTAATGCAAATCTGTACCTATTTTACCGCTAAAATTGACTTTCTCGAGATAATGTTGTTTATTAATTAGCTAAAGCCATATCTTAAGCCCTTTTCTGTGACACAATAAAAAACAACGTACGTAAGTCGATACAAATAACTTCCAAATAAGAAGAGCAAGAATAGCTGCCAATAAGAGACCGCCGATTATTCCAAGCACAATCGCCAACAAGTCTGGTTCACTTTTTATGACTTTTGGACATGCTGCAAAACAAGAAAAGTGACACAAACCAATTTTTAACAAAATATTTCTGCTTGAATAACGATTTTAAAGTTTGAACTTGCAAGATTTCAGGGATAGCACCGAAAGAAGGAATCAGAGCTATGGCCCCCGAACAATTGATCAACATAAAAAAGATAAACATTTTTATCAACTAGAATAAGGCTGACAGAAGGAAAATTGTTTCCAAAAGGTTTATCTTGAATTGTAAGTAATGCACTTGGTCGTAATCGAACTTCAGTATATGACATCAAAAGCAACGATCATTCCTCTTAGCCAAATGTCTCAATGAAATGATTGGTAACTTTTGAGGCTCTCACTGAAGATTTTCGTCGTATTCAAGGCAGTTTCTCTTCTGCCTCACCTAGGCTATTCTTTGTCAAAGCCATTAATCTTATACATCTATTCATTAATGCAGGACAGCTCAAAGCTGCAACTCCGAGCCTCACGCACAACACTGTCATAAGGCAATCGCAACTTGGAACCTTTCTGCTCTGTAGTCTTAGAGCCTAAAGCTCTGCCTTTACTGTTGACAGACTGCTAAAAACGTAATTTTCATTAATTATATATTAATTCTTACTTTTCTTTGGATTTGCCCAAATAGTGAAGTTTCCAAAAGCATCTTCTCCAGCATAAAAAGAGATGTAGCAACCATCGTCATCTTGGAATTCACACTTTCGTGCCTGCCCTGAAAATTCGATTTTATTTCAATAAATCAGTTCCTAGGCAAGTTGCTTTACGTAGCATTTTCTCTCAGACCTTATACATGTTATAGTTAGTTGTTAGACCTTATATAAGCAAAAACAACTCTTGTTTCAAGGCGTTTCTTGCAAGAATTTTTTCTCAATCTCTCTGGCTGGATTCGTTAATATTGTTTATACCTTTCCTGTGCTTTAAGCGGGGAATAATCAGTAGGACATTTCGGAAGACCAGCATTAATTTATCGTTCCGCTTCAAGTAAATCTAATGCTTGCCAAAGCCAAAAGAAAGTTTCCACGTATCTTATGTGTTTATATGCGTTTCAATACCAATTTTTGGGCAGCAGGGACGGGAGAACTCTTTGGAAAATGCTATTTTGACTTCTCCTTAAAATATCTAGTTGAATAGCTTCCCTCCTTCAAAATAGGCTCCGACATCTTTTGCAGGTATTGTGAAAATAGAAATGCTGAAAACTATTTTTCCCACCTTTCTCAAACTTAACATTCAAGTGGGGGTATTGTTCCTTTACGTCGAGAATAATCAATTTCTTTCTTAATGTCCCTAGGGGAAATCTAAGCCAACAAAAAGGGTGTCATGCTCAAGGGATTTGAAATACCGCGTGCAGATAACTGCATTGCAGTTAGAAGAAACAGAATGTTGAGAATACTTACGGGTTGCATTGCTCATAACGATTTTAACAGTGCAGTTATTGCAGATTGCTGGGTCACCACGCTTGAAGACTTCACACAACACACAGTCGCGATTTTCCGTACAGTGGCTTTCACATGACTAGAATAATAGATTTGAAATACGATGAATTCTAATGCCACGCTACGATGTTGAATACATTCAGTTATAATTTACTCACTCTGAAGAGGATATATTTGTTATCAGTGCTGAAGAGTAAATACAGAGATAGGCATGTCTATATACCGGACACAGCTCGCAATGGGTTCCCTTGTACCCAGGCTCGCACTGACATTCACCACAGTTACACGTTCCATGACCACTGCACACCTCCTGAAATTGCAACAGAAAAAGAACAAGCTAGGCAAAGAAAGGTGAGTAATGCGCAAGCAATAAAATTTTGCTTTTAAGGTTTCTTTTGAACGAGATGATAAAATCAATTTCAGCAAAACTTTTCGACGTATTTGGCTCGCTTTTGCTGTTATCGTTGCAGTTTTTGTACCATTTATGTGAGAGGACTACGTTTTTTTTTAATTTAATGTAAAAACGTATTCCAAAACAAAGACTAAAGCTGAATTTTGTTGATTCGTTCTGGTTCACAATATCACCGTACTATACGTACATGTTCTGCGCCCCGTACACGTCATGAGACGAGCCTCAAATTCGTTTGAACACAAGACCTACAAAAACCCAAAAGTTGGCCAAACAAAAGCCACTAGAAACCTAGAAAATGCAAGAGTAACGGCTCATTCGCTTTGTCAAGGCTTGCTCTTGTCAACGGTAGCCCTGTTTCTGAAAGCAGAGCCCGTTCAACCGAAAAATGGGATGCGAAAAGGGAGGTGAGGTGAATTGAGGGGTTTTAGTTAAACTATCTTAGTTTATCATTTTATCTCGATGATATATATTTCAATCAGTTGTTGCTTTTATACCGGGCGATGGACTTTCAATTAGAAAACAATCTATGGCTTTTTGTATTTGTTAACAAACGCTATTTGAAATGGGCACTTCAGAAGGCCGCTGTAAATATTGAATAAGATAGAGTGTACAAGCTAATGTCAGAATATAATTTCATTTGGAATCCAAGCATAACAATAACATTACGTGACAAGTACCCCGCCTTTCACGCAGTCTTTTGCCACTAGTGTGCAATTCTTCTGACCACAATTACTGCCTGTCCAGATCCCCTTGCAACGACATTTATTGCATTCACATACACCACGATCTGGGCCTAGGAGAAGTTGTAAAAAACGTTAAATTAGACAGCTTTTAGGTACATCATTTTGATGCGTCACTTCCCAACTCTAACTGATTGGCGTCCCGATTGTTCTCAACTCTAACTAACTACAACGCGTTCCGTACCAGGTACATTGCGTCACCTACCAGCTGTAGGTATCTCAGTTTACAGACACTCTGCACGTCTTTGCAGCCAATGGCACAGCACACTGGGCTCAATTACCGATTCGAAAGGATGGATGGAGGGCTGGGTTGCCTCTGCGGGGTTTTTAGAGATCGATTGTATGACAAACAGGGAATTGAACCCGGGTCGCTTGCGTGGTAGTTCATAGACTATCCATTGAGCCAAAGCGGATTCTATTCAATTTTTAGAGAGCTGGAAAAGACTACCTATCGGTGCCTATTGGCAACTATGCGTGACCATGGCTTGATTAATGAAATATACGGATTTACACATTTATGTCCAAATTAATACCTAAAAACTAAATTTAAGTTTAATAAAAGTTCTAAGCGCATTGAGCTTACCGGCCGTTAGACCTTTACAATCGTTGCAAGGTTACAGAAAAGGCTTACCTCCACACATTACACTATTGTGTGCGTCACATCCAAAATTCTTGCACTCGCAAAATGAGCCAGTAACCTTGTGTTCTGGATTCTAGAAAAGATTCCAGAAATGCATGCTTAATGTTTGTAACGCAAAAGATTTATTAGAAATTTTTTATAGGATTTATTAGAAAGTTTTTGATAAGAATTATTGGAAAATGTTTTAGAAGGCTGGCAGAAAGTATTTCGTGAAAAGTGACAATTTTACGCTTTTGTTCACTATCCGAGCAGAATACAAAACCATATGACGGTGTACAACGAGCATCAAGAAGTCGCTCATTTCATTTTTCTCGATAATCTTCCTCGTTTTTATTGCCAATTTAAACAATTAATGTTTTTATTAATGATATACTGTAACAGGTCTAATCAACTTTTAAAGAACGACATTGTAAACCGCCATTTTTCATCCTTATTTTGTGAAATTTCAATCCTTCGGAATCTAATGGCAGATCTGAGGATAAATTGCTAATTGACAAATGCCTACTGGTTGCGTGAAACACTCGCATGTGCCACAAATGCAAGTTCCAATGTTGCTGCAAACAGTGTCAGTAGAATTGCTGTAAAATGAAGTATAATTTATGATAGTTTTTACAATAACACTATGTACAGTGGCGTAACGGAGGTATACGGGGCCCTAAGAAGAAAACAGATGGAGCCTCTATTTACGGACGGCAAGCTTCCCATTCAATAGTGTAGAGCGTAAAGTAAGATGTAACAATGACATTTTTTCTCGTTAACTGGGTTAAGGTGGGCGGGGGGGGGGGAAGCTGAGTTAACGAAACATCAATTAAAGAAGCTTAAAAGTTTTTGCAGTTATAGTGAACTTGAGCGAAGTCTCAAAAAGATTGATATAAAAATCATTTAGGAGCCCCCTTTGTTTGGGGGCTTTGTGTTATTGAATTAAGGTGCCCTAAACTGCGTTACGCAACTATGTAATAAAGATTATTTCAAATAGTTGCTAATCTTTTTTAAAATTGGCCAGAAAAAAGTGACTCTGAATTTTTGAGGCTAGACCAGTCCACATTTTGTTATAATGATACTAATAAATGTGCAAGTACATTGCAAGAACCTTCCAACTACATTTTGATATCATCAGTTGATCAATGAGCACTGATAAAATAATGGGACCTGGGACCAATGCCCCTGTCATCAATTTGATATGAAAAGGACAGGTTCCCTCTTTCTCGTTTATTTCAGCCAAATGTAGAATACAGAGTATGTAGATAACTAGAAAACAGGAAGTTTCAATTGCATTTACCATACCACCAAAAATCCCAATTTCTAGTACTTCTAATGTATATAAGCATGTAGATAATATAAATGGGTCTCAAGCAATATTTGCAACTCACTCTGCTTTGCATGTTGAATCGTCAACACGTGACTGGTCATCGCATTTGCAATCCGAACCAAATCTGTAAAATAATATGTTTTGCAATCAGGCAAAGGCTTAGCGCACAGAATTTTCATTAGAAAATTGTTTGAATTTCTAGCAAACTGAATTTGAGCTAGAATATGTAAAATATCAAAGCTTTATGTTATGTAATACTAAAAATCATATTATGGCCTACAGCTATGTTAAGGAATACATCAGAAAATAATGGTGCGTTTGCGATGGCTAAAGTTTAGGTAGTGAAGAAATGCTTAATTTTCGACGGTTGTTTCATATTGAAAAAATCCATCTTGTTAAATTTCAAATAAAGCTATTATTAAAATACAGCTGATAATCTTAACAAATATGACAAACTGTATAGTATTATAGATTTATGGGTGCAAATGATAAGGACCTTCCAGGTTCACAAGAACATATCCCACAAGAGTAGTTCCCAGCAAAGCTGCATTTGGTGCTGTTTACTTCCTGAAAGAAAAGCAAAAATACTTCAATTTTTAATGAACTGTTAGGAATGATAATACTTTCCAAGATATCTTATAATATTTGATAAAAATAGTCATTTGAAAGCATTTATTTCACAAAAAGTATCAATGTCTAAAATTGTATAGAAACTGTTAGGTGTTAGATATTGACACGGAGAATGTACAAGACAAAACATCTATTTTGTGAAAAAAATTTAAGAAACGTTTATCCAAAAATTACTTACAACATTTGGTGCCTTTTCACAATCACAATCACACAAAAAATTTGTTTCAACTTGCACTGCTCCAAAGCCAGCAATGTTGATATCAAAGCTACAAAAGGACATGTTCATATTGTACGGCATGCCCAAATTACAGTTTTTCTCGTCAAAAGTTGTTAAGACAAAGCTTGGTCTGCCCATGTACTTATAGCTGCAATGTGTGTATAAGACTTCACAACACAGCTTTTGCCATTTATAGATTTTTTTCAAATTGTATACTGGAATACTGGTGACATCTAATGAAGGTCAAAGACAAAAAGAAATATTGTGTTTGACCATCATAGCAGCACTTTGGAAATTGATCTTTTCATCGTGGAATGAGGTTTAATTTACTGGAAATTGAAAAAGCAAGCTCATTGAAAGCGAAAGACTAGGATTACGGTTTCATAATTAAAAACATTGACTTGAATAGCCTCGAAATGGCACAGGAGAATGGAACTGAGGACTCGTTACAAGACCTCAATGGTTAGGACTACCTATGTCTTACTGCACACGAATCGTGCCTTGTCCTGCTCATGAGACTCATAACTTACAGTCACCTTTTGGATTTCCTGACGCTGTCTTTGCAACTTTCAGCAGTAACTGATACCTCAAATACAACTTCTTCTTCTATTGCAACTCCTGTGCATTCATTATCAGTAACAGATTTCCTAAAGCCAAAAAGGAAAGAAAAATTGGGAAGGGCATATCAATCAGGCGCGGTCAGCCAGAATTTTTTGGTGATACTAGATCCTGCTTTCTTTTTAATTCCTTAAGCAAAAATATGAAGCTAAAAAATACGAAAGGTAATGAATAAAAAATTGAATGATGAATTGTGTCGACTTTTGATTCTTTGCTACAGAAAGCATAGAGATTTTTACCTCTATCATTCTTTGACTATATAGCAGTGTTAATATCAAGTTTAATTTAAGATAGTAATACGCCCTTTAATTGACCTTTCAGAAATTGCTGCAAATACTTGCAAAAAACAGACAGTTGCAAAAAATTGGCCTTACAGTATAAAAAATTCCGGTTACCTGCACTTCTTTGGGTTATATTGCACTTTTACGTCTTCCTTTTTTGTTTCTACTAATCTTACGGTTGATGAAACTTTCTAGAAATAAATGTTGTTAGCAAAGTTGAATGACCTGCATATCTCATCATGGAAATTAACTTATCCATAAAAGCACAAGTGTTTATCTCAATTGATATCTATCAGGGAGGATTTGGAGAGATCAGTTTGCCGTTAACTAACTTGCTCTCAAGATGAAGTAGATTTTGTACTTATGTCATTCATTCTTTAATCGTGAGCACATTCGTAATCGAGAGCTCGCTCGTTTGATTCTCGAATAATGAAATTCCCGGAAAGATTTTTGGTTGTTTTGAAATATTCAATCATCATAATAGTCTTCTTCTTAGAAAAACCATCCAACATTCATAACTTTAGTTGTACTTTACCAACTACCTCCATATATGTCAATTGTTTGTTGCATCAAACAGCTTCAAAATTAAACACTCAAATTTTCGATTCCGGAATAAATTTCAGAAGTGGCTAGAGCATAAATATCGAGCTTTATCGAAATGCAAGAATGAAACACTCATCATCTATATTTCACGTACCTCGTAACTATCTCGAATCAAATTGACAACGTTGTCCGAATTCTTTGACAGTTCACCGACTGTAGTACCGAGATCTTTCCATTCCTCAGCTAGATTCTAATGAAATGTTGAAAAATGGAAGTAAATAAGCAGATGAGAACCAGACTCGCTTCAGCATCCTAGTATAATGAGCTTTGTTCTAGGATGACTTAATTTTCTCATTTAACGATTAAATAAATTGTAAAATACCACCGTCGAATCGATACGAGCAAAGATAGAAACTTACAAAAAATTAATATGCAAACAATTTAGCTAAGATTGCTTTACTTCATCGTTGAAACTTGTAATCAGATGATACGATGTAATTAGAAACAAAAAAATCTGCTTTACCTGATAGGTTATAAAGGTATTTTTTGTAACTGCCAGAATTGGCACAATTTTATTCTCTTTCATCTTAGAACGAAGTTGGCCAACTGAAGGATAATCCTGTAAATATTTAAATATTTGAATCAATGAGTCTTGCTTGCAAGAAAAGGGCCTAACTTTAAGATCGTTCTAATAAACCGTTAAATGAAAACAACACAAAAATATATTCATTTCGAAACATTTCCAGGAAACTGTTCCAGCTTGGGATGTTTTTAGAATAATTCCAGCTTCCCAACTTTAAAGTAAGAAAGACGATTAGAGAAAAAATTCAGGACATCGGGCATACAGCAGACCCATCTTTATTAAAAAAGGAATGGACTTTAGAGCAATTATATTACAAGAGTTTTATCAGGTGTTGAAAATAGATGCAGTGAAAGTAACTGGTTACACAATCTGAAGTGAATAAAATTTTCCCACCATTGTTGTTGATTTTGTGTAGAATCCATTGGAATCCAAATGGCATTGTCCATCATTTGGCAAAATGACTCCTCCTAGCTATATGGGAAATTCATTTTCATCCATTAAAATATTTGAAATAAAATGTTTAAAGAATGTTTATTTAAGCACTTTATCAAATGTACCTGAGTAGCTTCTTGAAGCATGAAAACTTAAACTAGCGCATATGGCTGGCTCAAAGTACAAAAATATGCTCTAAAAGGGGGAGTGATGGTGTGAAATTTTTAAAGATGGTGTAAAACATTTCGAGGCATTAAGAAAAAGCGACATGGTCCCATGTTCCCTCTCAAATCAGTACGCTGCATAAATCGCATCTGTAGCATCCTCATCCAAGCATAAAGAGTCTAGACAATGTGGGTTTGCTACGAAACCAAGGCTTTTTGAATTTACAAAAATATTTTCTTTTATTTAGAGAAAAATCAATCTTTCAAAATTTACTTTTATTGAAAGCAGCAACTGCATGGTTTGACACCCACTTACCTTTCCATCACCGGCGCAATGAAACTCCGCATCTGTCACAAATACAATGATACGTCTTGATGTTCCGTTTGCTTTCCAATTTATTCTCTGTTTATCAAATAAAAAAGCAACTTTTAGACACAGGATCATCGACCTCTTGTCCATCTACTAAGCTTGCCAAAGTTATATTTTTTCATATCAACAGTTCTTTGATTTGATTGCTCCAAAGACCGACTTTCTCGCATAGGTAATTATTTTGAAATGATAGAAATACGTTACTGGCGAGTATTAAATAACGCTATTTCTTATAAGAATGTGTACCTTTTGACAGGCAGTAACTTGCATCAGTCCATCAAATCCACCTTCAGAGAAGTCAAGGTTTCCAGAAATTTGCCTCTTTTCAACCCCATCCTTGTGAGAAATTGAAGAGAACAGATATAGAATAATGAACGGTAGCAGAAAATTTTATTTGACGGAAGAAACAGGAGTTGTATGTTGAAAAGGATAAAGAAATAGAAATCTTATTGCCTTTTTGTGCCGCTATTTTATACGTTTCTGCGAATTCATAAAAAAATGCACACAACCAAAAAGTGTTCAACCCGGGAATTATCTGTGAAGGACTGTATTGCAATATTTTGTAACACTGCAAGTAATAAAAATGCGCAATGTCAAACCATAGGTTTAGCATAAAATTTGCGTAAAATTAGCGCACTTTTGTAAAACTAGTTTCTGCAAATGCTTTTTTCCATCAACCTTTATAATGATCATTTCTTTATATTCTTTTATGGAAAGAATTTAAGCTGCACTCGATTTTGACTCAATCTCAGTATCAATATAAGTGTGGAATTTTCAACCCAGAATACGTTTATATTGGAAAAAAAGTTCAAACTTAATTGATTTTTTGTTCAATAGTATATTCAAACATAAGTAAAGTACTGTCATAATCCGTCATTACTTGACTTACTAAGGCTAGGCAAGCTTTCCTCTGCAGATGTAAGTGCCTGGTCACTGAATGTTTGAGAGATAGTGATAACTTGTAGAGCCACAAACGAAACCATCTGGTTGAAATGTGATTGAAGCTTGACATTTTTGCGTTCTTTTCAACTTTAGCCTGTGTTCCAGACCCCTAGCTTTAAAGTAGGCTAGAGGCCTGGTTACTTTCCGAGATAGCTCTCAAGTTAGAGAACTGAAGCACAGGCTAGACAACTGCCCCATTCAACAACCATACAAACACCTACCTCTGCCTGCTTGAATCAAATGACATCCAACAATTTTTAAAGTCATACGTTTTCATACTTACTGCAAATTTCTTTGCATCTTCAGTAAAATCAAGATTATGTTGAAAGCCAAAAGGAGGAACTACTGCTTGTGGTGGTTTGACTCTGCAATGAAACCCCAAATAATCTCAATACATTTATTAGTGCATCATAAATAAATATAAATCACGACAAATACAGGATCTAAGCCAATTATGGAATCGAAGCATGGAATCCAAGCATTTTTGGGTATTTTCTTGTTTTTATTAGATTGTATGTTACTGTTATGAATTCAAAATTCTAAATGAAATACGTACCTGTCAATTCGTATATACGGTGAAAGCCTCTTGTCAACAAACGAGCCAAATGCTAGGCGGTAATTTTTTGTTACAGTACCAATGGCTCTTGCTAGTAATTGGAAAAGGAGGTGAGGTAGGAGTTATCAACTTTTTTCAGTGTTCACAATTAGAAAACATTTGATATTATTTGATAAGAGAAAGCCAGTCGCGTTTTGAGCCTTGCATTTTAAATCTTTCCAAGTGATATTTCTAGAGGATATTCGCGCCTGGTTATTACCGGCAATCAAAAAAGCACTTGATGAATAAAATGCCGCTGTCAAAGATCACTCTCAAAGATTACAAACCTTGGGTGTGACCGCAAATTGGACTATCACTCAAAGAAGATTAACTAACTTTGATAAAAATTCTAGCAAGGGAATAATGCACTACGCATAGCAGGAAAATGAAGCAACTCCTCTTTCATCAAAGTTTGGTTGCAGAAAGACTGTTTTGATCATTTGGGGCTTTGGGATATCCGCTTTTGCACTGTTTGTTGTTAGATTTTGTGACGTTGTTAGATATTTCCTTTTAACTTTCTCCCTCGTAATGCAAGATGCTATCTCAACAAAGTTTTTGTAGTTTTTCAGTAAGATTGCCACAAAGAATAAGAGCTCACAGTAATATTTAAAGATCTAACTTACAAATTCCAGCTCCAAGATTCTTTAAGTTTGTCAAATCGTCGTGCATTGAATAAGACAAATCCATAAGATAGTAAAGATCTACTGGGTAATCTTTTGCAGGCTTCACTTTTATATCAAATCTCCCCGGCTGGCCTGTTAGGCAAAAATTAGATAGTCAAAAATCATTGCAGATGAAGAAAATGACGTTTTAAAATACAGAAAAGTAAGACAAAGCTTCAGCAAAAGAAGTGAGAAACATGAATAGTACTTATGTTCAGTTGCAAAAGACAACCAATGACTAATCTATTACAAAGGATGTCACGTCAAGAGAAATACCTGTATATTGATGTATAAGTGATTACCTAGCCCTATAACCTTAAAAAATCGACAAAGTTAGGGAAGATCATATTGTTATTTGGATTATAAAATCTTCAAAACGGTTAGTATCTGAAGAATATAAATTTTCAATGAATGAGAATACAAGAAGATTTCAAATTTGTAGTGATACCTTTTCGGAGAGTTAGAACAACTTTTTGGGGAAACACTTGGACTTTGGGTCCTAAGGGCTTGTTACTTGAAGGCTGCGAATGTACAAAACGGCATGAGATCAAAACATATTTATATATTTTGGCATTGAAAATATCTAATGGTAGATGTGAATCACCAATGACGATTTTAGCCGCAACTGTGGGGCAATCGCCCTTCTAGCTCCAGTGACTTTCGTTTGTTTAAGACATTTGACTATTGGCTTCAATTTTCCTGATAATAAAGGCCTGGCCCACCAATGTAAACCCCTTAGAATATGTTTAAGGAATCGTTAAACTGCTTTTAGACCTTACGGTGGCAGCCACAATGTTAACAATTCACTTCAATTACATCTGGATCACAGGGATCAAATGTGTTTTTGAAAATTTCTCCTACTGTATTGCCGAGTTCATGTTTTCCTTGATATACATTAAAGTGCAAAAATTGAAAAGAAAAAGCAAGATTTTTAGACTCGATCCGCCCTAGAACGAGCAGATAACTCTTCCCTTGCTCTCCTGCTCCTGTGATCTCCTGCTTCCCTCCGTTGACGCTGCTCAATAGAAATACGAATGCCAAAGCAACAAACAGCATTGCTTACCACATCTACTTTCGTCGAAGGGCTCGTTTTGTTTGTACAAATTTTTCCCATCACACTGGTGCTGTCACATCTCCTCCTGCTTTTGTCTAGCTTTATGAACGTCTATAAAAATGCGAATACCTGATAATTTTTTTATATTACCAATCATTTAGAGGTTATTCTACATAAAATGAAAGCAGACTTCCAAGAAAGCCAAAGTTTACCATCATTCTATCAACCCGACAGAAAGGGTCCAAAAACGTTTTTGAACACCAATTTGTACATAGAGAAAGGAAATGCTTCTGTACTTAGCACGGTCATTTTCCGCATGCAAGTGCAACAAATCGTGTCTCCTCTCATAGGATCATGGTTTTGATAGATTTAATACTGTTTGCAAAATCTACCTCGTCTGAGCACCAAACGCAGTCAGCTCCACCGCTAATGCAATCTGCACAAGAGGCATCGTAGAATCGACAGTTTGACTCTAAAAATGATAGAGTCATACAGTTTTTACCGAGTTGAGCAACGAGCTACTAAATATATTCTATCCGACAAATTGACTGTGATTTACAATATTACTGTATATTAGGTTAGGAGGCATGACAGCCTTGGGCCGCTTGTCCATATTGGAGAAGCCCAATCGAATAAATGTAAGCTAAGATCTGCGCTACTGTTGGTTAGATGCGAATACTGTGATGATGTGTCTAACATTTCTTGCATTTCAATATCAGAGATCTGGCCAGGAATTACAGGCACCGCAGAGTGTTGAGAAAAGTGGTGGGTCTAAAAAAAGTGGGGGAGGGGGCTAAAACCGTATAAAAAGAGGCTTTACTGGTAGTTTATTGATTAATATTTGCCAAGTGGAGGACGCGGTGCCTGTAATTAGCAAAGGCAACATAAACCGAACAGATCTATAAATATATTTGTCGCATCATCATGATTTGCTAGGCCAATGTACTCACAGTAGATATAAATTAAAAGTACCTTGAGATATGGCTCGCAAAGCTAGCTGTAGTAGCGTAAGTGTGACAAAAATGAGCGTGTTCTTTGTCATTTTGCTGTAAATGCCTATGAAAAAGAGTAAATCATATAATTTTACGAGCGATTTTTAAAATTAGCCTTCAACGTGTTGAGAAATTCTTATGCTCTGAAGAATTGAGAAGTAACGGGTTACTGAGGTGAATACGTGCATTATAACGGAAGTCTTTTAACCATCAAAACTCCTTGCGCCGTTCATAACCATCATGCCCTTCAAACAACAATTTCAAATTCAGTAAATGGATTCAATAGCTTGACCGTAGCTGAAGATCCTGCTTGTCATATCCCAGATTTCATGTCCAGATAATTCTAAAAAGTGTAATAACGTTCCATAGTAAGGAAAGGATCTTTTTTGGGGGGTGCACTGTTTGAAAACAATAGGAAGAAAGGCATTGTTCATTGTCAAACAAAGGACTTTTTTCATTTTTTGGAGCGCACAAGCTCCCCAAGAACAATAGCAGTTAAGACCCTGTAATAACTATGAAAACTAGAAAATCCACGGTTCATATTAACAGCGTGTCTGCACCCTCTTGGTTCTGATTTGAATTGGCATGTTGATTCCATACCAGTACCCCAGGCTGTAAGTGGGACGCATATCTAATAAACAAAGACGTATATAATGCTTTCAATTAAGTCTCAATGGTCCCAGCTGTCGATATGCATTTTCATAACATGGCCACCTCTGATAATTGTAGCTGTGATCCAAAACATTAGACAGTACGAAGCTACGAAAACAGTTCTCTTGGGCATTTTGGAACTTACTTGAGTATGTGACCACTTTTCCTAGCAATCTTTAAATTTCATTATGCAACTATAATGATTGTCGAAAAGAAATTATGCTTGGCACTTACCCATGCTGACTTCTCGATTACTTCTGAAAAACATGTATTCATGTATTTCTTTCAATGAAAGCAAGACGATCGAAATTTCTTTTGCAGATTTGGCTGGAGCAACACGGAAGCCGACCAAGTTGTCAAAACGAGGTCTTTCGGGTTGACATAACCCAGGTAACCAATTTCAAACTCTAATCACTCTGGGTGGGGCTTGTAACATTTATCATTGCAGATATCATAATGTTATTATAGCAAATTTCAAACCATCATTAGTTTAGGGTTTTTTAGCAGAATGAAGCACAAACGTTTCAAGGCACAATTACCCACAATTGTGTTTGGCCTTTTTGTTGCTTCTAGAAACGGAAAGAAGATTTTTTTCAAAAAGTAATGCATATTTACGCACAGAGCAGTGCCTATCTTTTTCATACATCTTCATCATCGCTTACACTACATGTTTAAATTTATACATGTTTAAAGTTTACCTTCAGCCTAAAAGTCCTACAAAATACAGTCCTTGATCCTCTCAAACACCGCAGTACGGATTCAATCAAACTAAGAAAGATACCCCCCCCTCCCAATGTCACTAAACAATTCGGAGTATTTCTTGTTCGACTTTGCTGGTAATTTCAAAGCAACTTTTGTGTCAAAAAAATTTGGCGAAAGTTGAAACTGCAAATAAGTTAAGAGTATTTCACAGACTCTCACTAATTATCATTCTTTTTATTGCTTCATAGAATTAGTCGAGAAAAGAAACTTCAGCCGTAATTCTGCCGTGAGGTGAGTAAAACTTGGTCCGCTTCTGTTCTATGTTTTCACACGAGCTGAAAATAGACATGAAGCTTTGTTGAAATCATTAGACAACTCAGACAAAACCATCAGTGTAAATATTAAAGCTTGAGCAAATATTGCCATGAGAATGCAAGTTTTCAGACTTGATCGAAAAGACATATATCTCCAGTAAGGGGCCAAGACATATTCTGTTGCAGTTAAAGCTTATATTTGCCACACATGACATGGATCTTGTCAAGGTCTTGTGAGATTTCCCAGATTGTTAGAAAAATATGACACAATTGACGAGCAAAGAGGGTCGGAGTGGAGAAGACGAAAGTTGCTAATGGGGGAGAAGAAACAATGAAAGAACAGCTCCGAGCCAAATAAGTAGAGGAAACCATCCTGGGAGCAAAGAAGCAAACAACTGGTGAGTAATAACATTTTATTTCTAAGATGAGATTGAGCGGGGATCTGTTAAGGTTGAATACATCAATGTAATTTGTAACAATTATAGGCGACGGTGTTGGAGAGCTGATCTTCAAAAAGGTCAAAAATTTAAATAGTTTTCCATAAACAGTAGATGGTAACAGAGGCTTTTTGGAGACCTAGAGCTTGCGGGAGAAATGGTTGCTTTTTACTTAAATCGTACTCAAAAGAGACTTCCAAAATACATTGCTTTGAAAACCTATTTTTACGTAACTTTCTACCAGGTTCTGGGTAGCACTACCAGAGGTAAAACCGTTAAAAAAAGGATTTCTACCAAGAGTGTACGAGATTTCCATGGATGCCTTTGCCCCCTTCGGAAGTAGTATAAGATAATACTTTTATTATTAGTAATACGTTTTTAAATTTATTATTAGGCTACAGCCTCATCACAATGATAAGGTATGGCCAGTCAGCTGGAACTTGACGAATGCAGACCTGTGGGGATGTGGCATGACACGGCCATGCCCCATTTTAATAAGACTGTTCCAAAACTGATACCCTGGACATGAAAATCATTAAGACAATTTAATCAGGAAATTTTTTCATTTCTAATAACTGATTTCTTCAATTAATGCAAGCAAGCAATTCAAAGTAAACAGAGTGCGGACAAAGACTTGAAAAAGAGCCTGGGGTGTAGTAGCTTACGTCAGAGCAACGACTGCCTGCAACGTCGTCAATTTGATTTTAAATTTGATTTCAAATATCCAGATTTGTGTTTTTGAATTGCCAACGCAAAAAGACGGTTTGATGAAATTTGAGTAACTTAAAGAAAAGATTCTTAAATAAACGAATGTACTGACAAAATTTTCTTAATATTCGAAGCCTATAAGCTTAAGCTTCACCTGTTTATCAAGGTGACGAAATATGATATGTGGCGTGAGTGATGAAATACTAGAGAGCCAGTTAACGAAGCAACAACCATTATACCTTTATCGCTTTAATAAAAAAAATCTAAATACAAATATTAAATAATCAAAAAACGAACTAGAGAAATTATCTAACTTCAGATGAAGCACATAAGACGAAAAACTACACAATTAAAAACATTATCAAACAAGGTACTTGTAAATATTTAATATTTGCGATGTACAAACTCCTTTTTTATCAAAATGTGATGTAACAAGATCAAAATGGTTAGAAATAAGCCATCAAATGAGCAAACATTTATTCAAAAAGTGATATAAATTTGTTAAATTTGTATAAGTAGATCTTAAAGTGTGATCAGCAATATTATAAAAATTTCGAAACATAAGAAGAACAAACTGGAAAACCTGGAATTAAAGTATCCAAGGCAGCGTTTACACGAAACCGGTTCCATTTCGAACGGTGCTAAATGAGCACGGTTAGGCCTTCCGTTTACACGAGACGACTTCCATTTTGAACTGTACCAAAACAAGCTCTATTAAGCCTTCCGTTTACACGGGACCACTTTCATTTTAAATAGTACTAAAATAAGCACGGTTAGGCCTCCCGTTTACAGGGGACCGGTCGGAACCGGTCCAAACGGAACTGCTAACCGTATCAAAACGGGGTCGCTTAGAAAAAAGATCCATTTGGAACCGTTCGAAAATTTCTCGTGTAAACGAAGCCTAAAATTATTGATAAAAAAATGGTTGTTTAAGTTTAAGTAGCCTAAACAACTAATTTCATGAAAACTGTTATAAAACGCGTAGCAAATTATTAAAAAATTCGAGCACATTAAAAATGAGCTGCAATAATAGGCCTACAACAGATATGTGTAAAAATAATGTTTATCTACTGACATCCCAGTGTAGTATGGTGACAAGTTCCAGGATAAATTGCAATATTTCGCACACATGTTCTACATAGCTAAACATGGCGGGGGAGGTTGGGGAGGTTGGGGTGGGGGGCTGGAAGGCCGGGTAGTTGCCTTCAATTAGATGAGCTTTACGATTACACTGTAAAATCTTTACGAAAAGATAAGTATTATTTATATAGTTTTATGATGTTAGATATGAAAAGATGATACTTCTAAGGTAATTTCTGGATCATAGGTCTGTCCATAATAATGAGGGTTATCAAACGTAATAATCAGATGTTCCAATCGATAGCCTCATTTTTGTTGACCTCGATATCATTTTCTGCGATTCAGGCTCATTATAAATATGCAAAATTGTAAATTTTGCTCCACAAGACTTCAGCTGAATCACTGGCGTTGTCCAGCATAAACTGGGTTGTCGTACTTCTGCTTGGCCCCCTTGTAAATGGGGTTCTCGGCCTGTAAAAAAATACGAGACAATTAGACTGCAGGATAAAGATCCAAGCAATATTACTCCGTAGCTTGGGCACTTGAAATGCAGAGCAAGGGAAGGACGCCATTTTTCTTAGCTTGGAACACAAGGACATTTAAAATATTGAGGTTGTTTGAACCTGCTCGGTGGTGACTAGGATTCATCAAATTTTACCGAGGAAGATTGAAATTGATGTTAGTGTTCCAAAACTTATGGTGGTGCTTGCATTTACTAAAGGAAAAATTTCGCAAACAGCAACAGAAAAAGTAGAAGCTGTTATTATATCTTTAATGGTTTCAAATGTATTGAAAATCAGAGAAAAGGGTAATGTAAGTAATGTAAGATGTGAATGCATGGAAAAAAGGAATGGCACAAACCTTATTCCACCTTGAGCTTGTTCTTTCCTTTTCAAACTTTGAATATTCGTAGTTATCCTTAAAATTAAATCAAATTGAATTCAGACCAGTCAAAAGCCCAAAGTCATAGTCTAAACATATCGAGGAAAGTTGATGTTACGAGAAAAGTAGAGAGGATAATATTGGCAGGTTCAATTCAAGAATTAGAAAAAAATAAAACTGGTTTAATATTGCTTAGTTGCTAAACTGCTACTGTTACTTTTGCTATATCTTTTACGATTAAAGTTTACCTAACACTAAGGCGTGGTAGAAACTTGTAACAAAGTATATCCTTTTAAAACTGCGAATAATGTCAAGTGGGTCTTACATTCGATAAGTTAATTCCTCACCATCACTAGTGCACGTTAAGATGTCAAAAACCTAAGGTTTTATCTATAAAAAGTTAGTGGAAACAAACAATCCTAAAAATCAAACGAATTACTACTTACGTAAGTAGACACCAATAGCTTCCAAATAAGGAGCGCAACTATAGCCGCCAACAAGAGGCCACCAATGATTCCGAGGACAATAGCCAATACGTTGGCTTCACTTGAGATAGTCTGAGGGCAAGCTGGGATTCAAAATAGGAAATCACTGACTCGTTTGTTTATGTGTCGATTATGAAAATAAAGATAATGAATCTATAATTCGGAATATCTTAAGATCTATATATGCATATGATTCATTTAAAGGGACCCCTAAGGTCACCCGTCAAATTGGAATCATCGTGTCTTCATTACCTATCTTTGCAAAAGATTTTAAAATTTACCTACCTTTTTTGGGGTTAACCCAAACAGTTGTATTTCCATCATCAGCAACAGAATAGGAGAAAACAACAAAGCAGCCATCGTTATCGGGGACTTCACATTTCTGACCGTAAGCTGTTTCAAAAAGGGAAGCATTTTTTAAAGTCAAGCCAGTATTTTCGATTGAAAGATTGATCACAAATTAAGATTGAATATATGTTACACCGATTTCTCATCTGGTTGACAACATATCTAACGAATATATCATGTCTTGCAAAAAATTACAGCTCGGTGTAATCAACAGAGTACCGGAGTGTGACGTCATCAACAATTTATTTTTAGACTTTCTTGATTTTTGACCACATAATCTGTGTGAACGGCATAAAATACTTTTCAGTATGCAAAAACAGTTACATATGTACAAAATTTACCGAGATATGGCTATCGAAAGATTTAAAGCTTGCTAAGGGGTACTGTTATACTGGAATGCACATGAGCACAAAAACCAGCGATGATTAGAGACCAGAGATAATTAGTAAAAACCTGATTTATTTCATTCAAAACGAGGAAGCGTGCTAGAAAGAAACCTGTTCATGAATTCTGCTCCTGGGAATAATTTTCAAAATTCAAATTCTTAGAACCCTTGAAAATGATAATCTCAAATGTTGGCTAAAATTGATGGAGCGGAGAAACTCGAAATCATACTTGTAACATTTGTCTTGATGATATGCAGTGAACAGTTCTTGCAAGTTTCAGGACTTCCACGATTGAATGCTTGGCAGAAAACACAATCCCGTTTACGAGAGCATTGGCCAGGGCAAGACTGCAAAAGAAAGGAAGTTTCGGTTTGTACCATTAATACTAAAATATATAGCGAAGAATGTCAAAAAATCAAAACTCAGAATAAAGAAACGTCATTTAAAATGGACAAAAAAGAACAGGCCAGGCTGAAGTGAATTATCTTCTTCAGGTTATATACGTAAATCTTCATAAAACGTATTTTTCCAGAGGATCTTTATTTGTCATGTGCTTCAACTAGTTTAATCTATAATACTACATATTAACGGACATACCGGACAGGCTTCGCAATGTGTTCCCCTGTATCCAACATCACAGTTGCACACTCCACAATCACATTTCCCGCGTCCACCGCAGACAACCTGCGTGTCGAATAAGCAAGAAAGATATAGCAAAATGTCAGTAATCAGCTCAGCATGATTACTGGCGAAAAAAAATTCAGCTATTGCTCAATTATAATCATTGTGCGTTGCTAAGGGTGGTAGGCTGATAATCACTTGTCTTCTGCGCACAGAAAATTGTCCTCAGCGATAATAACGTATATTTGCCGGATGTTAAAGTACTGTTCCAATTTAAGAAAAAAGTACAAACGCTTTAGATTCGACCTGAAAAGTAAAATGCTTACCCCATTTTTGACGCAGTCCTTTTCGACTAAAGTGCAGTTTTTCTGTCCGCAGTTACTTCCGATCCAGACCCCCTTACATGTGCATTTGTTGCATTCACAAACTCCTTGGTCAGGCCCTGTGGCGATAAAAATTATGAGAACATTAAAGCCCTTCCTTGCTGTTTGCAGAAACATTTGAAACGAAGTTGAATCGATACGATAAAAAGATATATCCAAACCTTGGGTAATAAAAATACTTGATTACATCAAACATTAATTGATAAAATAATCACAACATTTTCATCATTTACATGTCATTTCATTTCAGCAAGTAAGGCTCGATCACCTGTACCCACATATGGTTCGACCTATTTTTCGCCATCTAATTTGATAAACAAATGTAACTGTATTTTTAGACTATCCACCAATGGCTTATACCCATTTCTGTATGACAAGAGTCTCCCCCCCCCCCACTTAGACAAAAATGCAACCAAGCATAAGGACATACCTCCGCACTCTTTCCCGTTGTGTAAATCGCAGCCAAAATTTCTGCATTCACAAAACGTCCCTGAGATTTTCTCAGCCGGATGCTGGAAAAGATGGAATAAAACAAAAAATAAATAAACAATTATTAACGAATAATTAGAGTTAATAAAATCGTTCACATCTATGTATTACGTAAGGCGCCAAATGGTCACACAAAAACATTTCTATTTTCGTTCTAATCTGAACTTCTGCTCTAAAGAGGATTATTCAAGCATTTTTGATAAAGATAAGTTCAAAAGACACCCTGTCTGGTGGGAAAGGAAATACCTTGCGTGGTGTGCACTGACAGGATCCACAAATACACGTACCAGATTTACTGCAAACATGTCCTGTTGTTGCATTACTGGAAAAATTAGGCATAAGACATGAAATTTCAGATGCAGCTGTGAGATTTCATACAGATATGACATTATTAACGGAAATAAATATATTCGTGTGAGGCTTTAACTTAGTAGCATCGCTATCAAGAACACTTTTATTTCTGTTTAGGGCTGGTCAGATTCAAGCTTTTTACAGGTAGACTAGATATCCGCAATTATCCATCTAGATTCACGGGAGATTTATATACGGGATTCTCTATAAGAGATTGGCTATACGAGATTGACTCAACGGGATTGGCTACACGGGAACGGGTGTATGGGATTGTCTTTATGGGATTGGCTGTCTCTCTCTAAGCATCTTGGAGGACGTTGACTATCATGGACCTCAACAACATCATTCTCCACATGATCTCAGGACTGTTTCACTGGACACAACCTTCCATGAACTTAAACACTTAACAAAGGCAACGTGTGGTCTTCTTTTATTCTTATTCCTTTGATTTTGCCGGTGACCACTAAACACTCCAACCCTCCTTTCCTCATTACGAGTCCGAAAAACTCTAACTGCCTCTTTTTTATTGTTCTAAGCGAACTTCTTTTCCTTCAAGCTCTTTGAGACTTCCTTGTTGTTGACGTGTTTTCTCCACGGTATTCTTAGCATCCTTTTCACGACCACATTGCTCCAGCCCGCAGACTTTCGAGACTGGCTATAAGAGCTTGAAAAACAAGGCAAATAAAAACAAATCCAAAAACACATACTTGGCTCTGCATTGAGAATCATCGACAGCTGACGCATCTGTGCATTTGCAATCTGAACCATACCTTGTTAAAAAAAGAACCTCGTTACACATAACTTTACGTAAGAAGGACTAAGATTGAGTCAAATATTGTTGACTTGACTTTGTTGCAGTCATCAACGAAGCGAGAGAGTGTACAGGGTTTACTGGGATGGTTGTAGAGCTGTTGTAGTTGTGGAATTAAAGCTGTTTGAAATCAAGTTATAGTATATTTAAGAGTGTGCTCAAAGTAAAATGGAAATGTAGCGCCAAGAGTAAAAAGAGAATCTGCAGAGAAGTATCTAAACATATAAGAACAAAGAAGATGCATCAAGTACTAATGCTACTTCGAAATGAAATATACTTTATTATTATTATTCCTTAAAGCTTACATGTAGCATGACCTACGGTGTACAAATAACACGATTTTTGTCCTTCTTCTATCATACAATGCAATACAAAATAGCAATTCTAATTGAAACCTTCAAATTGCAGCCAAAAAAACAGATACTACGTAGTTTAAACGCTGAGTATTTTTAAAACATTGGAAAACAAGAAAAGAGAAGCGCTTCCGACCACAGACGCAAATTTTACTAACTTTCCAGCGTCGCAATAGCATTTACCACATGCAAATGTTCCAGCGGAATTGCATCTTGTGCTGTTCTTCATCTAAACAATTACAAAAAGTCAATCATACTTGGTGTGATTCTGCAAGCTTATAAAACAAGTATTTTAAAAAACAAAAGTATTTTAAAAAACCTATACTAAAGAATTAAAATAGTTGTATTTTCAAGACAGAAAACTTCAAGAAAATCAAAATATATAAGTATCAATCTTAAAATGGCTAAACTCTAAAATGAGATAAAGAAAAGGCATAAAATTAAGTGATCCATTGCTGTTTAATCCCGTTAAGTCGGACCCTGAAGGGGTTTAAGGTAATGGTTTGACTTAGCAAATGTACGGTTATCGAATGTAGGAAAATCCAGTGTACGGCTTACGACTTGAATGATATAGAAAAATCCAATGGGAATCGAAAATGAGTCCGACTTGGTGAAAGTCCAGGTATGACTTAACGGCATTCAACTGTATTGAATTAAAAATTGCACCAATAGCTTTAAAGGTGTAAATTTTCTTTTGTTAGCGGTCGTTGCTAAAGGTTCTGAAGTGAAAAAAATGGAGAGATAAGGCCTAAAATGATGAGAATCCCACCAACTGAAGGCAGCAGAATAACAAGGAATCACAGAAACATTTACTTCCTTGACATTAGCAAATGTTTACTTACAGCTTGGGGTTGCTTTTCACAATCGCAGTCGCATTTGACATCCACATTTACTTTTACGTCACCAAAACCAATAATGCTGATATCAAAACTGTTGGACGAAAAGAATTTCGCTCTTTAAACTGCCAAAATCTTGGCACCTTTTAAAACACGAATTGCATATAACAAACTGCAAAACAATTATTTACCACAGGGATACCACTCACCTTTTGAGCTTCTTGACAGCTTCTGAGCATCGTTGTGGGGTGACTGAGACCTCAAAAACCACTTCTTCGTTAATTTTGACGTTCTTGCACTCGTTGTCCCCTGCAACTTGGCTATAAGAAAAATTGCATTAATCGACTTTTCTGTGCAAAAAATACGGGAAAAGAAATTCTAAAAACAACATTAGATGACCTCAAAATCATGTATAATTAAGCAAAATATCTGATTGCAGGTGAAACGCTGGCACAAAATTTCATTCATTTACAACAAGAACCAAATGACGCAAAAAGGAGCAAAGAAAATGAAACACAAGTTACTTTGTCAAAAAAATGTTAAGATTCTAATCAGAAGTATATATAAGGAGGCCTAATTAAAGACATTCAGGAAAAGTAGTGCTGAAATGAAGTCGAGCACGTGATCATGGACCACGTGATGAAACAAAAATACTAACCTGCATTTTATTGGTTTATATTCTATTTTGAAATCGCTAGGTTGACTGTCTACAAGCCGCACCGTAGAAGATATTTTCTGCAAAAGATTTGAATATAATCGAAATGAAATCATGACAGAAATTGACCATGATCATGTTTTCAAGCAATTCCTTTTAAAAACGAAAGCCTTCACAACACTTCACCTGTGTTCGGCAAAATGTTATCTTTAGCTTTAACTTACGCTTTTACTGAGCTCCGTGATCATTAAATCCCTTTCCTATAATGAATCGATTTCCCTGAAACACGTTTGGCTTCCAAAAAATGAAATGCAACTGCTAGAAGAAAGGCCCTCGATAATCAGACGGACGGCTTTTATCAAGCAAATCGTTAAAATTGACCAATAAAGCAATCACTGACCTCATAATTCTTTTTTATCAAGCTGACAATATTGCTCGAATCACTAGACAGAGTACCAACAGTTGTACCCAGGTCTTTCCACTCCCCAGCAAGACTCTGCAAAACGTAAATATTAAAATCTTTAATTGCTGTGGCGTTCATGTCTAAACGTATCAAACAGTATCTGGTCTTTTAAGATTTTGTTTCGACTGGTGAGACACATACCTAATCAAGCATCTTAAAAGGAACTCAAAACCGCCGTGTCCTTTCTGTAGCAAACATACAAGATTTAGCTGTTTTTCAGGGTCAAGATTAGTCCCACATGCGATTTGTGCCTGGGGGAAGGGCCGCCTAGCCAAAGAACCGGTTCTATTTGGACCAACATCACACCTACCAAATGTTGTCAAATGGCTCCATTTGTTGCTGGGTTACAGGTATTTTATCAAGCTCTTTCGAGTTATGGGAGCTAAATTTCAAAATTCTAAAAACAGATTTTTGTGACGCCACCAATTAAGAACTCTAAAAGACAGTTTAAGGGGGGAGGGGTTGAAGGACAAACTGGTTATTCTATCCCCTAATCTTTGGGTTGTATGTCCTACTTAGCCAGGATCACACTGGCACGTAAACTCATAGATAACGGAACTCTTTGGGGGTAGTAGGAACGCAATCCTTTAGAATGAATCGAAGGGCCTATTTCAAAACAGATCCATCTACCTAAAAGAGAACAGCCTCCTCGGTCGTGTAAATCAAAAACAACAACTAAAACATGCGATTCTGCTATCGGGGTTGCATTTACGGGAAAACCCAGATTGTGCAAAAAACTATAACAGCAACATGCTTCGGATTATTGGTAGTGTCCGATCGTCGTTCCATCTAGCAGTTTTGGAAAATATCTACATAAAAAACGATAAACTGCTATTGTGTAGACAGAAGGGTTCCGTTTTCACCTTAGACAGACAGAAGGAGTTCCATTGGTAATCAATATCTTCAACAGGTAAGCGGCATTAATTGGCCTATTTTGATCCACAATTGGGTATATATAGTACTTCTTAGCTTATAGTTTTCGATCTATGTTCTGACGTTTTATACTTTGAAGAATGTCAGACGAAAAGCTTTAGCATGTTCCAAAATTTTTTCTTTTTTCAAAGCTATTTCTAAATTTTGCACCACATAGATTGTTTACAACTTTTCGTGAATATTTTACAAGTATACTTTTCAAATGCTTCCCTTTTCAAAAGCATGTAGAACCACCCAAATATAAAACATCAAACAAATGAAATTGAATATCATCACTCAACATTCAATATAAACTCAGGGTCAAAACAAACTTACATCATACAGTGATTTTACTCGGCTTGTTACTGCAAGAATTGGAACAATCTTGCTTTCTCTTAATTTCGCTCTTAGAAATCCAACTGATGGATAATCCTTGGTTTGAGAAGAAAACTTCATTATTAATGAAAAATGGAATAAGGCAGGGCAAAAATACATTTCGAATGACTAAGGAATTTTAGGAAAGATTGAAAGGGTTGTGAAAAACAGAGGAAGGGTGGTCCAGGGATAAAAGTACCCCTTTCTCACCTTGACATCTGACACTACAAAAAATGACTGGGAGGGCACTTGACCAGGAAAAGGACAGGGATGTGGGGAAAACTTTCTTGCAGCATGGCCTTGTGTACAATTTAAAAAAAATATGCCAAAAGCATACCTTGTCCCATAGGAAAGCAAAAATTTGGCACAATAATGCCAAAATATACTTGAGCTGTGACTAATGCGCATTTTAGGGGGCAGACAATTGAGACAATTTCTATCTTCTGCTTCTTAATACCCTGCCCCTATAAATTTCCATAATTTTGATACCTTGTCTCATACAATGATGCAAGTCATAAAACACTGTCCTAAAATTTTAATTGAAAAATTGTGTAACCCTTTTCCACAGCCTGTAATGTCACGTCAAGTATGGGAGTCCCTCTAGGGAAAAAGGGAACTAAAAATGAAATAATTAAATGGTAGATTATTCACATGAACAACTAAATTAGTAAGTTTAACTTGAATGTACATACCATGACAGTGCTCTTTGAATATGTGTTAGCATCATTCATGTGGCATTCTCCATCATTTTGGGTGACAATACCTCCAATCTGCCAAGGTAAAATATTAGCCAAAATTAGTCAAAACCATCAAAGTGAAGGATATCCATGCCTGCATCACTGACAAAGAAGAGAATATATTCTTATGGTGAATAGGCTCATTTGCAAACTGTTTGGAACTTACACTGAGACCTAAATAGGTTTTAGAGAATCCAACTTTTGCAGGCATCATTTGTAAGTGCACAGTTATGTGACAAGTATGTGAAGTCACATAATTTGCTTGTTTTGAGATCAATCAGTCTCCATGAAAAAAGTTCAATTTACAATATTTGTAAAAAAAGTTGAGACAAACACCTAAACACTATGTATTTGTATAGTCCAGCTTCTACCATTTATTGAATCTGAAGTGCAAACTGGGTACAAATTCGCATAACCATCTGTTGGGGACTGCAGAAATGAAGAGCCATGCAAATGAAAGCATACTGTAGCTTACCTTCCCATCACCTGCACTATGGAATGAATCATCAGTAACGTAAATAACAATTCTTCTCGAAGAACTCTTTGACCTCCAGCCAATTTTCTGCAGAGAATCATATTAACTCAATGTCCTTAAATGCATGCTATTTAATATAAGAGCTGTTTATAAACAAATTCATCTGATGGATAAAAAATGGAAAGCAAAATGAGGAAATAGGAAAAAAATAAGAAACTAAAAATCTTACAAGAAGCAATCTGAATTTACACTGGATTCAGAACAAGACCACTATAACATGAATCGTGTTGCTTGATTGTGACTATTCCATTTCTTGTTTTAAATCATCTAAATTCTTGCAGTTATTTAATGAGAAAACTGTAGCTGGAAGATTAACAATAAATGAAAATAAATATTTTTTTCGATGTTTTACTATTGCTTCATTCATGAAGTCACATCATCAAAAATACCTTTTCACAAACAGCCAACTGCATCAGAGCATCAAAACCTCCCTCTGGTTTGTCAAGATTTCCAGATATTGTCTGTTTACGCACACCATTCTGAAAAGAATTGAGGCTTTTAATGAATGAATGTTAAATGATCCCGGTGTGTTTCTGATTATCAAAAATTCCCTTTCCATGCCCAGATTTATAATAATTCTGGTGAATAATATAATTTTTGTGACATAGAAACATCAAGAATATGGATGCTTTGTTGTTTGTGGAACAAAAATAAATGGGATGATAAAAGAAGAAGAGTCTCAGCAGAAACTTTCCTCCACTGATATCTTTAGAAAAATATACACAAAATTGGTTAATTGAAAAGTACCAAAAATTCCTTACAAGCGAGAAACAGAGTGTCACTTACAAGTTTGAAAATCTACCAAAAACATGTTTTCAGACTAGTACCTAGCAGAACAGAAGCTCATGGAGTAAGTCTACTCACTGACTGCTGAACAATAGATTGCTGATCATAGCAATATTTGTTACCAGATTTAAAATGTTTCAAAAATGCCAATGGTATGATTCTTTGACTGGCAGGGCAAAGCAACATGCTTTTAGTAGTTAATGAGGTGTGGGGAAAATTCCTTTACCATCTACAAGGATATCAAAAAATCTTAAATGACCTGCTTTACAATTAGATTTCTTCTTTAAAATTTATACAGAAGGAATGTGTCATATTGACACTTACTGCAAATTCATTGGCATTTGTTGTGAAATTCATGTTGTGAATATAACCAAATGTTTTTCTGCATTGAGGGCATGGTGTTTCGCTACAAAAAGAATTAATTAAATTAAATTGCTGTGCTAAAAGCAAATATGACAAAAGAAAGTTTACCTAATTCTACCAGTTTGAAAAGCTAAAAAGTATGGGATAATAAGAATATTTGGGTCATCAAACATAGGTGCATTGGTAAGCATCTACTTTTCTCTTTAAATCTTTTATCCTACACTGTAAAAACTTTTACCAAACATAGTGTCATATTTGAAAATCTGCATTAAATAACTCTGACTTTACTTTCTTTCTTTCTTTTGAATACAATGATCACCACATGACTGAATAATCAAAACAGTACTAACACACAGGGGCCACAGTAATGTTTAAGGGTAAAAGGTCTTGGTCCTACATGTTTACTTACTTCTCAATTTGAACAAATGGAGAAACTGCTTTGTCAACAAAAGATCCAAAAGCAAGTCTGTAATTTGTTGTAACAGAGCCAATAGCAGATGCTGTTAATGAAAATGGAAAGATGATTCACAGCATGGGGACTTATTTTTTGAAATTAAATATCTTTGTTTGGATGGCACCAAAAGATTAACAGAAGATAGCAATTTGTAGAAATAAACTATTCAAGAACAGTAGCTTTTCTGGAAAAGGTCTAGATCTATAAAATCAAAGGGGAGACTCATAGAGACGCGTGATCTGCTAAGAGCACATATATTAAGTTATCTAACACTGAAATTAAGAGCTAAAGTGTGAAAAAAGAGATAGTCAGCCTCAAAAAAGAAACATAACTGCCACGATTTATTGAAATTTGGGTTGAAGCTTGACACCTTTGTTAAAAGTTTTCTTAAAACCATATTGCTAAGGAAGTGGAGAATCAGAATTTGAAAACTGAAAGATCAGAAATATAGCAATTTGCTACTTCTTGTATATCAAACAAAGTACTTACAGATTCCAGCTCCAAGATTTTTTAAATTTTCAAGATCATCATTCATGGAAAAAGATAAATCCATAAGATAGTATAGATCCACTGGGTAGTTTTCTGCTGGCTTCACCTTTACTTGAAATTTTGCAGGTTGGTCTGTTAATGTACAAACAAATGTATCTGATGATGCTTCAAAGATGACTGAGGCAAATCACAGAATGCAGGCCATGCTGGGAATGGCGTGCGATCGCACGCCCACGCCTTGGCACACGCCTTCCGTTGCTCAGAAGTGCAGTTTATCGCACGCCTTAAATAATCTGCAAATAACACTTTATTCTAAAGTGACCAATATGAACGAACGGTGATAATCACGCAATCGTTTCTATTTGATTTCTACTTGACGAAAAATTTGGCGAATATTCTAATTTGCTTAAAGTTATGGTAAACGTTTTTTGAATGAAAACATCCACTTCTCGATTTCTTCAGATTCTAGTAGCCGGACTTTCAAGGCACACGATGATACCATGTTTAAAACTAACAGAAGTTCTGAAAGTGGCGAAAAACCCCTGTAAAGGAAGATTTCCATAATTTCTTTATCAAAGTTTTGAGTTGAGGTCTGAAAATCGCTCGACCTTTTAGGCCGATAATCCTTGCTTTGCAGTTGTGGTCGCTTGTCTCATTTGCAATAACTGCAGTGGAATCACGATATAACGAACCCCGGATATAACGAACTTCCCGGTATAACGAACTAAATGCCTTGGATTCTGCCTAACAAACACCTTACAAATTCTCTCGGTATAACAAACCCCGGATATAACGAACTCTCGTTATCACGAACCATTTTTAGGTCCCTTCATCATAATTACCCTTGATATAACGAACTTTCATAAATTCTTCATCTGTTATTTTTGTTTATTTATTTTCGGTATTCATTTATCACTTTCTCTTGGGGAGAAATCATTTTTATAATCGGCAAAACATGCCGATGATACATTTCTAGCACTAGCTGATAGACTCAGACCACGAGATGAAAGTTCGATTGCGTCAGAAATTACTGCGAATGAGTACATTGACACTAACAAATAACTTCTTACATATAAGGCATTAGCAATAAGCGACGACAAAACTTTATTGAGAGACCCAGATGGAGAACCAGAAGAAGACAAGCAAGAATGTGAAGTAATCGAAGACATCATTCAGCCGCCAACTAGAAGTGAAGTGATACCAGCTTTGCCAATCTCTTGGTCCCAAGTTATAAAAGGAACATTAAGATTTTCATTTTCAATGACCAGCCAGTTGTATTATTTGAATTCAGATTGGTTTTTTTGAGTTAAATGGTACATGTATGGCTGTTCATGTGCACAGAGGTTGGAGATAGCCTAAACAAGCCCACCACAGGTTTTTTAGGCGTGAACTGCGAAAGGACCCCCAAAAAGCATTATCTCTCGGTTTAACAAACTCCCGATATACGAACTATTTTCTGGTTCCCTTCAGAGTTCGTTATATCGGGATTCCACTGTAGTTACAACCCCATGGCACATGTAAGGCTTTGTTTATTTGAACAGGCTTATTGATCTTTAAGCTTTAAATGATTTGACCCAGATTACACTGTGGTTTACGAGTGTATCTTGCAAGTGCGATCAGTAAAATCACGTTTTCTCAGGACTCACAATTCCTCTATATACAGTTTACTTTATGTGCATTTTTCTTATCTGTATGCAAATACAAAACTCTTTAGAAACTTTTACTAATAAAATGTGGCCAAAAATGTTCTAAAATTAAGAGACTTTGAATTGTGAGGATTTAGCTACTGTAGCTTTCTTACAAAATATAAACGTGCAATTAACCATTTAATTCGTTCTAACACTAGTCAACAGATAAGTTTTCTTTATGGTGAAAACACAGTTAGAATTCTTAAATTTTGAGAACGAGATTGTCAGGAGAAGCAGACCAGAAGGGTTTATAAACTGCAGGACAGGATTACATAATAATTAACCTACCTTATTGTTAACGTTTTTCTCTTTAATATGTTGGGTTTGACGTTAATAAAGCTTGTTTGATAAAATGTATTGATTGGACTAGCCTTGCTTATGTTTTCTTATGATAAAGTTATGTAGTCTAGTCCATATACAGCTGACTGTATTATTAAGTACTTTGGTGCGATAGCACACCATTGCACGCCTTGGCACCACAAGGAGTGCGATTCATTGCACCCCTGCCATTTTATTCCCAGCATGGCCTGGAATGTGTCTAAATTATTAGTAACTTTTCTTATCTGAGGGTTCTTAATTGAATACAGGTGTTGCCAATGGCCTAGGCAGTGGGTATTTGTGAATATGGGCCACAGAGATCCCTCTTTCAACATTTTCTGTTGGTGGTGTGCCTTGTGATTTTTCCATTGAAAAAGTGTGCTATGGATAAAAAATGGTTGAGAAACAGTTTTAGACAATAATAATGTTCCCTTTAAAATTTTCATATAGCAAAGGAAAGAATGAGCTAAGAATAAATATGAAAAAATTCATACCAACTCGTAGGTTTAGATTTAAGGTCTGTGGTGTGAATTGGGTATTAGAGTCAAGTTCTTTGTTGCTTAGAGGCTGAAAAATTAATACATTAATATTTTAGTATTTGACAGTAAGTGAATAGAAAAGATGTTCAATGAAATTATTTAATAATATGTAACTCTAACAAAATTCACATTCAACTGAATTGGCCAGATTATAAAACTGCAGACTTACTTTGTTGAACGTGCTGCTTGGATCTGTTTTATTGTGACACGTACTGTTCATCTTTGACCTCAAGTCACACCTTGGCCTTTTGATAATAAGGTTATAATTCTGCAAATCCACAACAAAGGTTCATTGATTAGGCAAAAAGTGAGTGGTATGAGTCAAAGAGAAATATGATCTGAAAAAGCTGAAATTTTTTTAAACAATGAGATTTTGTTAATTTTTTTGTGTTTTTGCTTAGAATATTAAGATTTACAAAGTCCTTGTGAGACCAAAGATCTAACCAAGCAAGGTCTATTTATGCAGAGTTGTGTTGGGCTTGGCTACACATGAATAATGGTAAGATATTATTTTTAGCAGGACTGCAAAGAGGGTGGGCAGGGGAATGGGGTAAATCACTGCAAGGCCTCATAAATAAATGAATGGAATTGTATCAAAAGTATTCCAAACGAAATTTCAGATACTTAAACAATTGCAAGAAAAAAACGGCAAGAAATATTCTGAAATGAACTTTAAGCTAATCTCAGGGTTGTGGTCATAAAAAATGTGCTTGCTTTGCTTGCAAGGAATTTTCTTTCAATTTTGCCCCAGGACTTCCAAAACCTCTTGGCTGCCCTGTTTTTCATCTAAAGATTACACAGCTTTAGATTTATTTTAGCAAGTAAAGACACCGCATCAAAACTTAGCCTGATTTAATTAAAAAATTGCCAATAAGACTTCAGGTATATGTATTTTGCGGTAATTTTTTATATAAAGTATAACAGCTGTTTTTCTTTTAAACCATCTATAAATTAAAAGCAAAACATTTACATTAGATCTGTAGACTATAAATATTTTCTCAGGAAGACCTTCACAACAGCTTAACCTTAAACTCACATTCTATTTACAGGTTAGCCCATATGGAAAAGATTGCTTTAAGAAGCACCACAAGGCTATCAATATGTTTTAGATAACAGACTTAAAGCCTTGATTTCATCACATCAAAATAAATACTTGGCTCTACCTCATCTCCACACCAGACACAATCTGGCCCTCCAGTGATGCAAGCTGCACAAGAATCAAACACTGCACATGGATTTGAATTTCCTAAAAAAGACAAAAATCTCCTATCATGTACAGAGGTACAGAGGTATTCAAATAAACTGAAACAGTATAGTAAAAAATTTAAGGAAATTATCTTGAACAATTTTGAGTAATATAAAAGCATAAAATGACAGCAAATCATATTTTTTCAACCCTTTTATAACGCAATTCTCGGATATTTAAAGGTTAAAAATCTAAATATTTTTATATCTATTTACAAGTCATATCTGTTATAAGTCTATTTTTTTATGCAAACATCTGATGCATGCATTGATTTTTATAGATGCAGTTAGTAGAGAGGCTAGCTTCTTTCTTTCTTCATGTCCATTCAAATCCTTATTTCCTTTTCACTTGAATTGTTTTGGGCAAATACCTCTCGTGTTTGTTTTGGGCAAATACCTCTTGTGGTTGTGTTTGAAATTGTATACCTCTTTTGAGCTACATTGTTGATAAGTTTTTAGCATGACAAGTGAAAACAAATCAATATGTTGAAATGTTAACAAAAATTCTGTGATTTCATCATTAGTGTAAATCAATATTTCATCATAAATTTTTCTCAAATCAATCATTGCTTACCTATCATGGTGTAAACTAATCCATTAATCCATTTTAAAAAAAGTAAATATTCACGAACACTATTCATGTTTTGAGAATTTCAAATGCTAAATGTGTTGTTTAGTAAACAAAGGGTGCCCCCTTTGATTACGTTAAATATTGAGAGAACTGGGTGTCCCTTAGTATAAGTTAGTATGTTGACAATGTTATTGTATTGAGAAATCCAAATAATAACATGAAACTTAAAGAAAAAATTTAAGGGACTAATACCTTGGGCATATGTATAAGTTGCTAGGCATGTCAGAATGATGGTTATTGAATACATGATGATCCTCTATGTCCTGAAGGTAGCTGAAAGATAAAATATGTGGTGATCCTATATGTCTTGAAGGCAGCTGAAAGATAAAATATGTGGTGATCCTATATGTCTTGAAGGTAGCTGAAAGATAAAATATGTGGTGATCCTATATGTCTTGAAGGTAGCTGAAAGATCAGGCAAGCGTAAGTTGTTAATGATAAACAGAACAGTCTAGAGGACATCATTTAACAAAAAACTCGGCAGACATGAAGAATCTAAGAGAAAGTAAAAGAAACGAAATTAAATCTACGAACAAATTATTCCATGGAAAAAGTGGAACAATAAATGAATTCCTAAAATCGTAAACGTTTCCTGACAATCAACCCTGGTTTCTCAAACGAGAAAGCTTGAAACCAAATACCACCACAACGTCCTGGTACGCAATGTTGAATTAAAATTAAACCTAACTTTAGGCGGTTTTGAACAAACCAAATTGAAATTTATATTTAGACAATTTTATATGATAAAACGTCAACATAAAATATTTTGGTTATTGACAGCACGTCAAAGAAAAAAATTTGCAACCTGAAATTACATGCAGTAAACATAACCTCTACTATAATAAACAATGAATACATATATTATAAGGTGTTAGTTAAATTAATTATTAACGATAATAATCATTAAGTAAGGATATAAAGTCCTCAATCCGACATATATCTCTATTCGATTCAAAATTTTTTGAAATCTTGACGATTCAAAACTGGAAAAATTACCTTAGAATTGTTTTCACAGATACCAACTGCAACCTTTTGAGCTTTTGGTCCAATATTTCCTTGTTTTCATCACCTGGCTCCTACTCAAATCCGACAGAGTACAAAATGAGCAGGAAATGATGATCAAATGAAAAAGAGGCTCGACGACGCCCTGTTGTGACGTCAATATGACAATCTCTTGTAATGTGCTTCTACTCTGGAAATGACTAAGAGGGGAATTTAGCTGTGGTTTATGGGTTTATGAAATGAAATTCCGTGTTTATGACTTCTGAACCCCCCGCCCCTTTTTATCAGAGACTTAGCAGCCTTAATGTTAAGCATATTGCGTAGTTAGTAGAGAGGACCCTGGGAAAGATTAGTTATTAGGCTAACCAGGTTTATCCTCTGTAAATAAAGTTTATCTATCTATCTATCTATCTATTGTTTGTTTTGTAAGTCTGTTTTGTTTTAGTGAGCCAAAGTATTGCACAGGCTGAAACAGAAATGGCCGCACCGCAGCAAAAAATTTTAGCGAACCAAAATTCAAGTGGTCATAGCAAGTTTCATAAAAGTTATAGGATGACTTTTTAACTGGAATATGTTAGAAAATTCATCAAGGTTTGATGCTCTAAATAGTAAATGCAAGAATATTCTTGTTTTTTGCCTATTTCCAAACAATATCGACATGTCGCAAGAACACAAAAAATGAGCCACGATGATTGAAGTACCTGTGAAACATTTGCAATAAAAAGTTCATCTTTGCACCAATTTGTGATATTTTATTACAATGAACTTGGGGGTACCTACTCTATGCTTGGGTGTCTAGAACTGCTCATTATGCTCACTTTTGTTGGAGAATCTGCTAAATGTTTTAGTCGGAAATTTTTGGAGCCGCAATGGGCCTAATCTCAGCGGTCTCTTAGTGATATGTTGCAGCAAAATTCAATCAATAAAATGTGTCACAACTCGTTAAGTCCATTATTTCCAACCGATTTCGATTTTGTAATGGGAACAAATAATGCTGAAAAAATTGCATAAAACAACATATCGTCCTCTCATTAAATGAAAATACCAAAATTCCCGCGATAAACAGGTTCACTCGAATGCCTCAATATCGGTAAAAGAGTGGACATAATAAAATGGCTTAGAATATGCCACTTTCCACCAAATACAAGGCCATTTATAAGCAACTTGGTACTTCAACACCTAAATGTGATCTTGGAAATTTTTTTCTGAATTTATCATGTCGCGATTAACAGAAACTATTACAAAACTTTCTGACAAACTTCTAGCAAGTCTCACAACGGTTTCAAAGCTGATAGACTGTCCAATAAAAAGTTAAAAATTTTTATGTTTTAGAAAGTAATTTTTTGAATTTTTAAATTAGAAGTGTTGTCAGTGTTTTGAAGTTTAACCAAAAAGGCGCCTAATGGCTTCACAAAAGTGGTTTGAATTTCGATCGCTTTGTTGTTGACAACGCGGTCGCCATTACTGAATTGTCAAACCTGTGCAATACTTTTGCTCATTAAGTGTACAATGATATAGAAGAAATCTTGACCTTGTCTGTTGTAGAGTGGCTGATACCTTATAGAGGGGTTCTTACATAGTAGGACTATATGTCATTACGCCTCGGTGCCTAATTGCCACCCCTCCCCCCGCTAATTAATTTTTGAAAATTTTTCCAACCACGCCGCTCTTATTAAGATCCCCCACCAATTGATTATGACACTTTTGTGTTAATTACTATAGCGAAAAAAATCAAAACTTGCAATTTATACCGGAATATAAAACGAATGATACAGCTGAGCCATTCTGAGTATTCAGTATATGTAAATTCATAATTTTGACTCCCGGTAATTGGAACCCCCCGCGCCGATTTATTCTGAACATAAGATCGCCCCCCCCCCGGCAATTAGGCACCTAAAGGTAATCATCGTGCAAACCTCGTTTTCGTTTGTATATAACATTTAGTCTTTTGTTTAGTAATTCAGTCAGTGATTAACCTCAACTCAAGTCGCTCGCTGAGTAAGCATTATCCACGCTACAACTGACGGAGGAGAGGTGGGGGGAGGGGGAAAAATTTGCTCGAAATTAGGCAGACCACCGAGCTGCACTAGCATAATTCTGTACCTGCGGTTTTTAAGATGAAAGGGAAATCTGTTGACTGATTTTAACATAATTTCAAATCAAAGAAATTCCTTTCAATGTTACGAAGCCATATCTACTTTCTCGAAACCGCTTGAAATTTCTATTGAAGGCGTGACCAACATAAACTTTAGAGATCAGAATCCGCTGAAACAGTCAGAAATTCTTTAATCCGCAGTAGGAGATTTAGTCGAAGAATAGTCATCATAGCTGAAAGAGTCATAAAACCTTTAATCCGCAGTTGAAGATAAAGTCAAGGTCGCGAAGATGGAAGCTTTATAATAAGCCCCATTTAGAAGAGCTCCATCACTTTTTGGCGTGTAGACTGACGATCAGTTCAGTATTAATTTCGAGGAATTCGATCAAACCACGGAGGGTTCTTCAATAGCAAATGTACCGCGAGCAAGAGTATACTTTTTCGGACTTCTAGTCCAGTCAAAGGTATACTTTTTTCAATTTTGGTCATGCCAAGGTCTAGCCAAAGGTATCATATTTGACAACGTTGGTCTAGGGAACGGCCTTTGAAAGAACCACATATTTTCCTTCTCTATAGCTTTTATGCCCAAATTACTCTGCAGAAATACCGTAATGCCTCGAACAAGCGCCCCACTCAAATAAGCGCCCCCCTCAAATAAGCGCCCACCCTAGAGGTGAAATTATTGAATAAGCGCCCCCTCGAATAAGCGCCCACCCCTCGAATAAGTGCCCACCCTTCGACCTTCAGAAACGGGCGCTTATTCGAATTTTCGACGACAACAAGTAAGATTTATTCGAGGCATTACGGTAACATATTTTAAAGGGTATGTCATTTTCCCGCCCTTTTTATCATTGACGAATTGCATCAGCTTTCACAAGGCCGTAGCAGTGAACATCAGTGGTGGATGTGAGCTTCTCGTCAATCTACAAGTCTTTAAGATGAATATACAAAGTACTTTGGTGCAAAAGAAATGTTACAATTGTAGTAATTCTATGAGAAGGGGTCTGCAATGTCTTTAAGTGGTATTTTGCGTTTTATTCCGTCAGTCACACGAGCCTTAAAGATTAATTTTGTGGATTAAACACTTTTCAAGGTTTAAAAACAGCGTTATTCCTGCATTCCCTCATCCCAGTGGCGGCTCGTGTATTGGGGCTAGTGGGGCTCAGCCCCACCAAAGATTTCCAAAAATAGGTTTTAGATTTATAAACGTAAATAAAATCAACGTCCATTTTTAATTTGGCACTGTTCACTAATTTCGTTGCTTCGAGTTTCACTGTTTGTCCATTCTCTAGTTTGTTTATGTCCCACTGCCCGGGGTTCTTTCGAAAACTGAACAAACACGCGTATCAGAAACCATCTCCCGAGCTTTTGGGGCTAGCCCCAAAGAAGCAGAGAATACACCAATCAAGTGCCTCTCATGACTCTACTATTCAATTGATGACTGCCTTCTGATTGGCCAATTCTGCTCGAATCTGCATTCCTTTGGGGCTAGTTGAAACTAGCCCCAAATAATTCAATTCAACGGTAGCTGAATTTTTGTTGTTGTGATGTGATAGGCAATGTTGATCTTAAAGTGGAACGCAGCAGAGTGGCGTGTTTTCAATGACTCGAATTATCAGCCTCAAAACTTTGAAATAAAGCATACAAGTTAGATCTTTATCAAAATTAATTTTGCCGATCTTCAAATAAGCTCATAATGGGAAGGCTTGGCCGTAGGCCTTCTAATGGCATAAAGCATATTTCCAATGCAGGCTTTCAACTGGAAACAATTTTAGCTTCACTTCATATGAAAATTAATCAATTAACAGTTTGAACTTTTTGTTCTTTAAATTTTTTTTAATTGCCATGATATGCAATGCAAAGGAAATCGTCTACGGGTTGGCCATATTCAAGTTGTCTATGTTTTATGGACATCCCCCACGAACTCCCCTTTTTGTGAAGAGAGAAACGGTCCAGCGGACTTGAATAAATAAAGTTGAGCACACCAACATTTCACATAGCATACATATGCATATCTGACATTTATCATGCACTTTTACATGATAAAGCTTATAGCTATCATATTTTCTGACACCACCACCTTGACATGATTATCTTACAAGGACAAATCAAATTACAGCTTTATTTGCGGATCATATTTGATTTCCTTTAAAACTTTCTGGACAGGAAAGCCTTGCTTTAAAAATGGCAGAGCAAGGATGTGTTGTGTGGTTGGCAAAGAGCTTACCTGTGCCGGAGGTTCTTTCCAAGCATAAATTGCCTATTCTAGCGAAGTTAGACGAGGAAATTAAATTAAACGACAGTTTTTCGCTGTGCAGTGAAACAGCCTTGACAATTTATGGCAAAGGCGAGTTGGAAACTGTCTTTGGACAGGACGAAGCCGGAAGAACATTCATTATACCTTCGAACTGTAAACACAAAGTAATGTTGAAACCAATAAATGGAGGACGTACATTTTCGTGTATCAGAGACATTTGTGAAGCCAAGTTCCTGCCAAACTGCATTCAGAACCAAATTCAGTTTACTGTTTATGGAATCGAATTTCCAAAGAAGACATTGTTTTATGTCAAGGAAAAAGAAATCAGTGATATTCCAATGGGGATTTCCGTGGAGTCTCGAGGGCCCCACCCAGTCAATGTGATGTTGCCAAGGTCAGTGAAAGGGGATTTTATAGAAGCATTACGAGAATATGACGAAAACCAATTGTACCTGCTGGGAGAGTTGAAAAATCGAAGCACGCCTTTTTCAGTTGTTTTTGAGCAGCTGGACCAAGATTTGCCCCCCCATTTGCTGCCAAATGGCTCATTTCTTGTAGAAAAAATAGAGAAACACGACATTGTGTATGCAACTGCAAAAATCAAAGATTTGAAGTATTTGATAGCGATACCTTACAACGCAAATATGACTGTGAAAATGGGGCAAGTTGTCGAAAATGATCAACTTTATCTATCCATAGCTGAACCAAAGTTTGAAACGATTGATTTGCCGCGGGCTGAGTGGTTGTGCAATAATATGAGCACCCAGGGCCGAATACAGTTTATGGTGTGCGATTTAGTGAAATCTAACGGCAATGAAGTAAGCCATTTGTCTACTTGCAAGGAATTGTACGAAGAGCCTTTGCAGTTGAAAAAGGAGAAACCACAAAAAGATCTGTTTTCTAAGCCTGGAACAGCCGAGCAATTTTCGATTAGTGAAGAAAAGATTAGCAATATGGCCCCACAACCTCCGCGAAGGGTGAGCAGCCTGAAGAAGAATGTCCCTGGGAAACATAAACACGAAAATACGGCCTTAAAGGCCCGGAGCCAATCACTGTACGCTATAGGTGAAATAAAAATACATGCTTGTGATTTTAAAGAATCAAAGCTTAGGGTACTAGATTATCCTTGGGACAATGTCCCAGCTAAGGAGACATTCTGTGACACTGAAGGTCGCAAGCAAGATAGAGATGCAAAGAAAACATCACAACCAGATGAAATGGAAGGAAATGACGAGATTGTTTATGTCCAAATGCATGGGGATGAAAACGCTTCTTCTCCCAATTCAAATGTTGAAGACAACGAAGATAAGGACAGGGCACCACCGATCCCTCCAAAAAGGTCCTCTTTAAAAAGCATTTTGCCAACAGCAAATGATGTGACTGCAGAAAAGAACCCTTTCAAAGTAGAGGAAATCTTTGAAAGAGAATTACCAATTCCAGCAAAAAGCATCAGTTTAAGAAAACCCAAAGATGTTGAATCTCCTGAATCTTCTCTATCAACCACCGGAAGGCAAGTAAACGAAACACCTCAAGGAAAACAGGGCACTCGAAAGATCCCACCAATCCCTGCAAAACGAAAGGGGATGAGCATGAAAAAGACGAAGGTTAATGAGGATGCTAAAGACAATATTAAAGATCTTTATGCAAAGGTTATAAAAAAGCGTGACAATATTGCTCCTCCTTTGATAAAACCAAGGAAGGAGACAGTAAAATCGGATATTGGACCTAATCTGCTGTGTACAAATGATAGGGACACAAACCCAGATATAGCATTTAATCAAAACAATGTACTTACAAATGGAAAGTCACGAGAAGAAAATGCAAGTGAGTCGAAAGGATTTCTACAGGATGGTGCTGGTTCATATGAACGAAAATCTTTCGAAACTGATCAAGAATTCAAAAATGAAAATGAACAATCAGAATTCCAAATTGGGATTAAAGCTGAAAGCGCTAGTCAGATGGGACGGGAAAATGAAATTAATGCAATTGAGGATATTTGCCAAGTGTTGAAGATCCTTAAGTTAAGTGCATACGAGGAAAAGATGTCACAGATGCAAGTGGATGTTACTTTGCTCCACGACTTATTTGAAGATGATTTGATTCAAGATATTGGAATGTTAAGATTTGAAGCAAATAAGCTACTGGCGTACGTTAAGGAAGGATGGCGCCCAGATAACAAAGATCTGGTTGCTAAAAATTCTACAACATGCAGCAAGGATGTTGAAAGCTGGACATGTTACGAGGTGGGTTTCTTTCTAGGAAGAGAGATAAAAATGACAAAATTTGCAAACTTCTGCACAAAACATCAAGTTAATGGAAAGCTGCTCCTAAAAATTCTCCAACAGGAGATTCTTGAAAGTATTATTGAGGATTTCAATCTTGATATATCAAAAATTCAGAAAATTAAATTGAGAAAGTACGTTTTAGATGGATGGAGACCAAATGTGTAAACTTGGGTCACTGAGCATCTTCGGTTTGAGTTAAAACATTAAATGCTTTTCGAAATTATTAGCTAATTATAAATTAAGATTTATGCATCCAGAATTGTGTTTGCAATAAAATTGAAAAAATTCAGAAACCAGAAAATATTTATGGAATGTTATTGTATTTTCTCAAGCAACTAGACACGTTTGCTTTGAGGCTTATTTTTTGGTTAAATTTACTAAACCATTCTATGCTGTTAAAAAGTCCTTTTACGCTAAGAATTTCAAAAGCAATATCATTTAGACAGCGGTAAAATTATCTTCAAAATTAAGTTTGTAATGTTTTAGAATTTGTATTCTTCAGTAATTATCATTATTCTGTTAAGCTAAATTCTTTGATTATGTCACATGTTTGTTTGTCGCGCTGTTAGTAACTCCCTTTCCGGTAAATGTACATCACTGTCATCGTGTTATGTGTTGTTTCACAGAATTCCTTTGTCTGTGTTTCAATATATGTAAAAGGTATCACCAAAGAAGGAACCGTTACAAGTTTACATGTTTCTTGTATGAACTACAAGAATAAATTGGAACGGTTGGGCAATTTTCAAATTCTAAAAAGCGTAGTCTTCATATGATAATTCTTTCTTCAAAAAATTCTTAGTTTACCAAATTCATTCTCCAAGCCAGGGCCAGTGTTTTTGAAGCTTTGGCACCAAATTAAAGGCATTGAGTCATGGTAAATAGGACTTCTTTATAGGGAGTCATTTGGTTTCGGCGTGATCGATGCTGTTTCATGTGATATTTGCATCCGTTGTTGACAACTTGCTATTGATAAAAATTGTTTTGTCAATCAGTACGAGGTGAGTTCATGCGACCAGTTCCAGTTCAACCAATAGCATTGCAGTCATGAAAATCATGACTCAGCGGATTTTGGCATTTAGGGTATACCCAATCCATTTTATCATGACTCAATGCCTTTAAGAAGCACCGCATAAGGACTTGTTCCTTTTTTCTTCGCAATTGGCAGTTTATAAAGGAAACAGTATAGTGGGTGACAGCAAAGCTAGAGTAAAGTGAGAAGTTACTTTTAACCGCAATGCCAGTTAATAATATTTGTAACATAGGCAAACGTTTTTGTAATAGAATACGTTATTGCATTTTTCTGACTTTAGACAACCTGGCCTTGAGATGTCACCGATTTCAAGGAAACTTTTAATAAACAAAAGTTACAAATATGATTTTATAAGGAGCGCCAGTAGCGGATCCGAACACCGGCGAAAAACAACTGATTGGCTAATTCTGAATCTGAGCTGCAGCGAGGAAATAGTTGATTGGCTAGCTCCGTTCGTGAGAACTCTATTTCACTCACCCACCGGTGCTCGGAATATCGTCGAATAATCGGATTTCATTGGAGGGTGATTCCGTCATTCGCCATTTTATCGGCCAACTTATATTCTGCCAGAATCTCGTTCCGGTGAATATGCCACGATTATCGACAAAAAGAAATTTTATAGACAGATAGATTAAATAATATCTTTCATGCATAGTAGAAAAAAACATCGAATTAGCAGAAATTGTTAGCTGTCTTTTCCGAAACACGCTAAGAAACAGGGGCAAGAAACAGTACTTTGAAAATCAAGCACCCTTTGCACCCCCCCCCTAGATCCACTATTCGAAACAAAACAATTTCGACATTGAATTCTACTGTATACTAAGAAACTTCTGGTAGCGAATTGGCCCGATGAATTTAAGAAACTGCCTACCACCAACGGACCTTAGTTTCTTAGGAAATGAATACTTGTGATCCAATTTCATGATAATTTAATCAAATAACTGATTACTCATGATTATTCACTCCACTAGAATAAACGGATGTGAAGATATATATGAAAAGATGAAATAAAAGAATAAAGGACCAAAAATATACGAAAATCGGATCGTTTCTTATACTAAATGTTTATTTCAAACACTTGATAAAGTATTTGGTGACAAAAAGCTGAGCAAAAACGTTGGTTGAGCAAAAATTTTACCAAAGCTACAGACATTTGCGCCATAATGCATTCTAGTAACATCTATGATGCTTTCATTCTACTTACAATAGTTATGGTATTATAATTTCGGATATGATTTGTGCCATATACCTTACACCAATTAGCCAAAAGCTCCTAAAAAGCGCAAGAATCGTGTTTTTCTAAAAGCAGGTATGAACACTTAAACCATATAAAAAATATATAAGGATGCACTAAATTTTAGTTTGGTTTGATTTATCTAAAAGTCACTGTAAAGAGTTAGTTTCCAATCTACAATACAATGCAAATTATTTTCCATAAAACAAAAACATGGCCAACAGGGTCTGGAAAGTATTCTTTCTCATTTGACAGGACGGAATTACAAGCTGGTGGATCTCTAGGAGAAAAGTTCAGCTCAAAACTGTTGTTAAAACTAGGAATGATACCTTCTATAAGAAGCCTTTTCGTGAACATCATAAAAGGTGTAATTTTGCAAATATGATTATAATTGCAAAATCAAAATCATTGAAGTGAAAACCCTTCCCCATTATGAAAATTTAGGCTAGATTGTTCTTTATTTGTTCTCAAATTATTAGGATATACGCAGTGCAATTGCTTCCTTACTTGCTCTAGGGGGTTCTTAGGTCTCCTTTCACAACAAAGTGAGCGTGACATCTTTATTTGCCGACAAGCTCAGACACAGCACCACTAGGGGGCTGGGGACTCAAGCCCCCCACTTTTTCAAAAATCAATTTCTTTGACCGTCTTCTTTGTTATTTTTTAAAGCAGAGTATAAATTGAAAATAGAAAAACTGCTTATATACTGCTTGATTTTATTTGGTCTATTTATGTAGGCATATTTCAAATTACTTGTCTATTTTTGCATCAATTCAGTAGGTAACTTTTTGTATCATTGCATTGTCTGCATTTTGAATGTGTAAACATGGCCTACTGAAAATATTCGAGACAAAGAAGATCCACATTTCTGTTCGGGAAGTAAAATTATCTCAATCAATGCAACAACTCCTTGTTAATCACATCGATGTGCACTCTGAACCAAAAGCCACCCTTTCTTTCTTTCCCCAACATCTTTCACTAGAGTTTTAGCATGACTCCTCTCCGCAAAATTTTTTTCTAAAAGTCAGTAATCAATGATTTGCTAAAAAATCGTCGAAATGTCTTTCTGAGCGGTATAGTAATTTCTTAAATTTTAGACTGGGAGATGCATTTTTAGCCATCTAGAAGGCATAATTTAAAATTTCCTTGCGCGTCGGAACCAGCCATGTTGGGTCCTCTTATGTCACTAAATTTGATTCTTAGCCCCCGTTCCCAGTTTTGTGGAGCCGTCTCTGAAGTTTGAGAATTCATCAAAAAGGCCCCCTTGATTGTAAAAAACTCCTCATTCTTTAGCTGAAATCTTTTAAGAGAGGATTTCGAAATATTGCTAAAAGTCCTACTTTACAGAAGCACGGCCTCAGTTTGGTTTTTAGTTTCTTTTTAACTTTTGACCACTTTAGAGGCTAATTGTTGTAAATACAAAAATATTATAATTCATGAATTCATGACACGGGAACTCGTCATGGAAGCGAGGTTGATAGGATGCACGCTGCCTCAGTTCTATTTATCAAAAATGGCTACTGGAGGTGATATAAAATATTTTCAAGCAAGGTTTTCCTGTGCAGACGAGAAGTGAGTGTTGACATTTTTCATGTTATGCTTGCATCATATATTATCATTTTCAAATAATATTAATAACAGACCCAAGTCTGCAAACAAAATCCATGGCATATATACTGGAAATGTCTTGTCCCACACCGAACCGGTATTTTCTACACCAAAAGGTTGTTGCGGAAATCTTTCTTCCCTGAAAACGAGAAAGTATTTTTCTGCCGTATTATTTATTTTCAATAGCAGCCCTGGAAACCCGTCTCATTGTATGGCAAAATACCAGGCAGAAGATGATATGGCAAGTGCAAACGTTAGATATTTTCTTTCTGAATTGTCCATGCAAACTTGGTCGTGCTCGTGTGGCAGTTTGGGATTTTGGCATGGCGTGGGTGCGTCCTATTATTACAGCAAATGAAGACTTTATTTGTGCAAGAGATTAGAAATATGATGATTCCACATAATCCTTCGTAGGATTGATATAAAACATGTAAGCCAGGCCTTGCAAGGAGAGGCATTCAAACTTCGAGCACCTAATGTGTTTATGATCTTTAAGAATTAAATGTGGAAAACCAATTTTTTTAATTGATATTTGATGATGCTCAATCAAGTGACTAGAAAGTTGAAGGTGCTCATTTTGTCAAGCCCATGCTTGGAAATGGGCACAACCCCCTTGAGAATGTATTTGTTATGCATGACAATAATTGATGAAGTATGAAGACAAGTGTAGGCAACCATATCGGTAACGTTTCCCCCAAAATAAGGCGCCCCAGTATACGGTCAAGCTCCAGTATAGAGATTGTCAATCAAGATTATGTTCTAAAATGCTGCCAAAGCCTTGTTGGTGCGTTGTTGTCGCGGTGATAGATAGAAGTTATTTCAAGACACAGCGGCTTCTCGGCCAGTAGACATTCAGCCATACACTTTCAGCAAGCGGCCATGTTTTTGCTCGAATAAAGCCCCGTATACCGGGGCAAAATGTTAGCAATTACTGATTTTTATGTGTGTTTGTTGTTGTTCATTCTTGTCGCGTTGAGGTGTTACTTATTTACTACATGTTTTGAAACAAAATGCAGACCTCTGCACATATTCGTATAAATTTTACAGCTATCGCGCTGAGTAATGTGGGAGCCTTCAGCAAGAATATAGGGCTCGCTTGTTCAGATGGCAAGTAAGGGGGTCAAATTTTTTCTAAGGCCGCATTTTGAAAAAATCTTGACTGAAACTGTTTTGCTGGCCACTTGAAATCAGTGCACTTGCGTTTTAATTTGTCCTCTCTTGAAATAACTTCTATCTATCATCGCAACAATAACGCACCGGGATGGCTTTGGCCGCACTTAAGAACATAATCTTGATTGACAATCCCTATACTTGGGCCTGACCGTATACTGGGGCGCCCTATACTGGGGGAAATGTTACCAACATTGCTCAGTGTAGTAGAGTAAGTGTTTTGGAGATTGCCTATTTTTTTTAATGATACTTTTTAAATTAACATTAGAAGGTGCGTATGCTTTCTTTGAGAGAACTTGTATTTTTTTATCAGATATGCTGTCTCCAAAGCACCATTTTCATTACCTGGTACAGTTGGAAGTCCTGAACTCAATTCTTTGATAAATGGAATGCTAAAGCAAGGTATGTTCATTATATCTGGTAAGAAAGCTACTTTCTATATATCAGATTTGGAACACACAGTTGTAGCATGATTGTGCTTCCAGTTCAAAGTGTACCTTGAAGGCAATGGGTATAAATGAAAGGGAAAATATGTACACCAAGGGAAAATCTGCTGATAAGTTGGTGACCAATACCTATAGATGTTGTTTGGCATTCATTTGATTAGTATAACTTATCCCAGGAAGTGCGTGTGTTTGTGTTTGTCATTGTTGTACAGCAGAGTTGATAATATGTAAATTTCCTGAAGGTCCTGGTCATGATTTTTGCTATATGCATTTTCTTTTTTCATAAGCTTTTAGATTCAATTTGATAAAAGCATTCAGTATCCTGTGTCAGATGTTAGGTTATAAAGGAAATTGATAAACTACACTTACATTCAATTTGAAAAGTAGTTACAACTCAACTGTTTCATACATTTGATTGACCTCACCTTTGGCATGTACTGTATTTTAAACTTTTTTTTAAACCTATTGCAGGAGAAGATGGTATTAACTTTGATTTTCTTATCAATGGAACACTATTAAGATCAACTTTGATAGAATTAGTGGAAAAGCATGGAGTGTCCACTGTAAGTTGAGTTTTGAATTCTTCTTTTGAAGTTTTCCTTCTTTTGAAGAAAGGTTACTCAATATCTGTCATAAGACCAAATATTTCTTTGCCTCAGTTTGCCTTTGTTGTTTGAAAGTAGTCAAAATAACCGAATAACCAACCTCCTCTGTAGTTTTGCATTAATTTGAATTGCTTTCCACCATTAAAATTTGTTAACTGTTAGATTTGGGAATCATTGTCTCAAAAGTACTTGTAAGGAAGCAAAGAGCAACGAAACCAATACATTTTTATGTATTTAAAGTTGCGTACAAACTTATCAGCTTTTGTTTGTCATCAATCTGTTTGTACATGAATGTAGAAATAGCTTTAATTGCATATAACTCAAAATATTTTGATTTTATTATGGATAAAAGCTTTAGGGCAACTTCAAAAAGCAAAAGGCTAAGTTTTTAATGACATAGGTTGCCTTTATTGTATTGTTGCTTTAAGTATACCCAACTGCTTTTTGTTCAATTTTCCCAACCACCCAGAGCTTATTGTAATCCCCACTTTTGTCGATTTTCACAATAATGCAAAGTACAGCTGCTGCACTACAAAAGGATTTATTGTAGATCAGTTTTCTTCCTTGTGTATAGCAAATGCCCTCTATCTAGAATAGTTTTCAATCTTCAATATAATATTGTAATAAAGAAGCTGATCTGTTAATGGTTATGAAAGAATTATCTTATATCTTGTAAGAAATATATGAAATATAAATATTTTCCAAACAGCCCTCCTCCATTTTTTATTTTATCTCTCCTGTTTATTAATTTTAGAGGATATTTCCCAACCCTCTGTTTTTTATGAGCCCCATCTCCCAACATATTATTGTTTTGTTTTATTACAATGATTTTTGAGACAAAGTAATTGATGAAAGACAGGTTGGTAAAATTTCTAAAACTTAACGTTAACAGAGCTATATTAGTTGCTAATTTGTTTTGCCATGCTAACTTATTTTTTAGGAAAGTGTCATAGAGATTGAATATGTGCTAAAGAGCGAAGCACCAAACCTTAAATGCTCTATTCTTCATGATGATTGGGTGAGCTGTATTGATATGACTTTTAAAAGGTATAATGCACAGTATTATAACTTGCTAACCATTATGATTTGAATATGAACAGGGTTGCCATTTGGCTGTTTTGACGACCAAATTGTTCTATTCTGGCCGTTTTTCAATGTTGTTGGCCGTTAAAAAATAATTTGGCCAAAAAAGCGATAGTTGACCAAATTTTGGCCGCATGTTGAAAGCCACCAAAATACAAAGAAAACAACAACTTTAGCATAGAAAATATTCAACATGTTGTTAAAATAATCTCAATGTTGCAAATAACAAATCAAGAAACAAAATAAAAGATAGCAGAAAATTAGCAAAAATGTAGCTTATTTGTATATTTCGTTTGGTTGGCCGAATTTGGCCATCAAACGTAAAGTATTTTGCCGCCAACCATTCAAAGCATCTGGCAACCCTGAATATGAATATTAGGATATAAATATATTGTATGAATGGTAGGAGAGTGTTGCTATGAACAAGGGCATACTCACCGGGGGGTGTCGGGGGTGGAAAGTTGGTAATTAAATTTTACGGATGGTCGGTAAATGTTATGGATTGTTGGTAGATGCATATCTTGACTTTATATAGTAAATTGGTGTGTATACATTGACTAGCAAGAGTTGAATTTGGTTGGTAAATTCACCCGTTTACACCCCCTTACTCCAAATCATCAAGGTACGCCCCGGGCTGTGAATATCTGTAGCTGATATAAAAATAGACTTTGCTTTATGGTTTTGTTTACAAAACAAACAGACATACAGATGTAACAAAGTAAATATAATATTTTTGTTTTGCTTATGTGTAACATGTCAGTGCTCAGACCCGGTAAGTTTCTATATTCAGTTCAATGCTCTGGTAATGCCATACTGATTTATATGAAATTCGCAATAAAACAGTCAATTCATTATGCTCCAACTTTCCCAAAAATAAGAATAAATTCTGGTCTTTGAAGATTATCTGCACCATGAAATTATTATAGCAGCATTTAACAAAGGCTTGAGGTACTGTTTTAACAAAGTATTATTTTTATTCATTTCAGAATATTAAGTGGCAGCTATGACTATTTAGCAAGGATCTGGAATATGAAAGGTATGAGAGCCTTTGTATTAATGTATTCATAATTGTATTGGTATTTGTTTTTACTAAGCATCCAGAGGTAATTTTTAGGACACTGAGAAGCTGTGCTTAATAAGCAGTGTCCTGGTACTTCCACTGGATGTGACCACACCTTGCGATTCCTGCACCTGGAATTACTGAGAGCTGGCAACTCTCCTCACTCTGGGTGAAAGTTTGGTCATGCCAGGGATTGAGCCACATCCCTTGGGTCTGTAGTCAGCACCTCCAACAACTGAGCCATCCTTGCACAACTGAGCCTTACATTTCCTTTGGACTGAAGTTTTGTTTGAAGCTCTGAAAAATCAAAATGATTGTAGTATTTGATGGCATATTCCATCATAATTTAGAATCTATGCTCCTCTTAAAGTTTATAATGATGATAATGACTGGGAGCTAAGTTTTCAACTTTATTTTCAATAAAATGGACTTCATTTTAAAGCAAAACCCGTTATGTGTGATAAAAATGTATTATTATATGCAGCATTGATGGTTGTATAAAACCGTCATAGTCATTTGTTCGAGAAAAGTATTTTAATTAAAACTGTCATATAGCAAAGAGAATGTTTTTGGCATTTTTATTGGCAAACAACATATGCTATTCAGAGAAGAAGATTTTAACTTGAATTAATCAGTCTTATACAGTAGAATCCCGTTATAACGTACTCGTTTATTACTCGGTTATAATGTACTGGTGTCCTTGGTCCCGGCAAAAGGTGTGCTTGGTTTTAGTCAATTTTTACTTACCCTCGTTACAACGTACTTCGGATATAACATACTTAATACACTGGTCCCTTAAAGTATGTTATAACCGGATTATTCTGTAACTGATTTGCAGGCTGAATTCTATTTCTTGAGGTATAGCCAAGTAAAATATAGCTGCTTTTTGATATCCAACAGGTGAGCTGGAGAAAGAATTGAAAGGACACACAGCAGCTGTTAAAGGAGTTTGCTGGGGAAGAACAGGTTAGCTTTGATTTAGTGATAAATAGTGATGAATGCAGATTTCTGGGTTTTGATAGCAGCTATTACTGAGTTCAAGACAGAAGAAAATTGACTGAATTGAAAATGAGAGAAAAGTCTCTTTTTCATTTTTCCAACCATAGATACCTGGTATATCTCAAACCATGCAGAATGCAAACTGAAAGTAATGTTGATTGAGGTTTAAAGAAGCTTTTGCATTACAAATGATTTGTTACAGCTGAGCAGCAGTTTAAGGATGAAAAAATTATGTTTTGGAATGTTGAAATATGATGTCTGGTGCACTGTAAATTCTTGAATAAGCCACCAGGGGCTCCTTTTGCAACAAAAATTTTCTTGAAGCTTATTTGAAGATCAGCGCTAATTTAGAAGCAGCCAAATATATTTATAGTGTTAATTTTCTTCCTCCATCTGAGGCTGATCAGTATGTTAAAAATTGCTGTACCTCAGCCCATGGGGTGTATTCATTGGTGGGGCTATTTTTACAAAAATTATCTTAGGGTGGGGGCTTATTCAAGGGGCAGGGACTTATTCAAGAACTTGCGATAATTTTTCTTTTGTACTGAAGAGACTGACTTTATGACTTTAAGGTTGGGAACTACTGTAAAACCTGTTTTAATTTCTATTAACTAGTTTAGATGATCAAATTAAAGATGGATATATTTCAGTGTCCATGGTGAATTGTGGGAGGATGTTTTGTCCCTCTTGGTTCTCAAGGTTCACCTTTATTCAATTACAACTAATTTCATGTATCAAAAACGTTTTCAGATGGGGAGAATTCTACAATACTTACATCTTCTCAAGATCAAACAATTAGAATCTGGGAGGTAAGTAAGTGTTTTTGTTTAAACAAGAATAGGAATGTTCAAAGTTGTTTCAGAGATTTTATTCCTTTTCTTATTTTTTTCTTTTCTTAGAATTTTATTTCATTCTTTGTATGAAAACAAATAGCTTTTGTTGGAGCCTCTTCATGGACCCAAAGATGGAGCTGCAGGAGTCATTAGTTATTGTTTAAAAATTGAAAAATACAATTTTTGGTTTATGACTTTTTAACCTGTAAGCTCAACTATTTAGAAAAGTTGGGAACTCAACTATCAAGATTCAAGAGAGGGAACAGCAGACCTTTTTGTTTCATGCAGGCAATTGCCCTTGCAATCACCTTCCCTAATTATAATGGCAAGGGAACAGATATATCAGTCATAAAAGTTATAAGTTGTCAACTTTTATAAACAGGATCCTGTCAGATAGCTTGGATTGGTTTGTATTCAAGTGAACTTAAAATCACAACAAATACAAAGTACAAAAATGACTGTAAATTAATTAATTGAGAACATAGAGAAAGAGAATTGCATTCTTAGTCTGGATGTCAGTTAGACAACAGAATAATCATGGCGATTCATCGCTTCTAAGAACCTCTAGATAATAGTGACTGTCTTTATATAGCTGATCAACTGATCTTAGGGTACTTAAGCTACTATGTAAATGCATTCTCTGGTCTTCCACTGACAGGCATTTCCACAAAGGCAGCAAATTATTAAGTTCTAAAAGAGTGATAGCCCATCACTGCAGGGATATTGCTCATGTTTCTAATGCCCATGAGTAAAAAAAGATGTTGTCTATCCTTGTATTAGCAAGTTTTTGCAAATTTCAAAGTGGTATAATAAGTTTGCTCATATGAAATATGCTATAATAAATTCACCATCCTGCACCGACACTGAAATTTTCTGTGCAGATAATATTTACAGCCGTAGTTAATAAATATATCCATTAGTGTATTAAGTGGAAATGAAGACAACTTTTCATTAGCGTTTTTAATCTTGATCGAAAACTTTTCTTAATGCAAATTGTTCCATTTATCAGTGTTTCAATCTTTAAAACATTTTGTTGCTACTCCGAGAAAGAAAACTTTAATGAGAGTTTTAGAGTTTCTACCAAAACCTAAGTTCTGTCACTATCTTTTACAAAAGATTTATGCATAACTTTCTCTTAAAATTGTAAAAAACAAATTGGGAATTGAAGTAGCACAATTATAAATGTTGTGTAGAAAACAGAACACTCTTGTGATGTCTCTAAGGATCTATAAATAAGTCTATTCAGTAGCTATGGAAATCATTAAGGGCTATGTTATATGTTTCAACAAAGGGTCTAGAAGCATATATTTAAGAAGCAATAAAATTTAAATCCCACAACATTGCTAATATTTCTCAGAAGGGTGCTATAGAAAGAAACCCTAGAAATCACTCTGAGACAGGCTCTATGTTTTGGCTAGTTGCAAAAACAGAACTTTTGGGATATTATTCAACATATTGTATATTGTTAGTTTTATGGCATCTTTGTGATACAAATGTATATTTATAGAATATAATATTTGTGTTAGGGTAGAACAAGAGTGACCTTTGGATAAAATGATTTTTTTAAAATTATGACCTAACTAGTGTATTAGTTTTGTCAAAAGGATAGGTCATCATGTGTTTTTTGCACCTAGTGTATTTTGCACCCTTACTGCACTACTACCCCCTAAAATGTTTCTGTTACCCTCTAAACTTCACTTTCATGAATGCTTTCATTTGGGAGAATCTTTGACAGAAACACAGAGTGTTTCTTCTTTTAGCCTGTTTCAATCAATTGAGACAGAGGGGCTTTGTTGGGGGGGGGCTGCTTTGTGGGGTTGTGCTTTGTTCTTTTAATTTACCTACTAAGTATGGCCTCTTAAAACAAAGATGTTTCAACAAAGTTTTGGTTCATCTACCAAGTATGGTCCTTTTAAAATGCTTAGGCGACCATAACCAATTTATAAAAAATGCTTCTTCATTTCCTGAAGTATTTATACTAGAAAAGTGCACTCATGTCACAGTACAAGAAACAGCTAGATTAGCTTACAACATATTTTTGGAATGCAATTTGCATGCTTTATATTTTTTAATAATGTACTGATCTGTTTTGAGTTTTCTTTTCTTTTTTTACACTGGCTTAATTATTGAGTCACATATGAGCAAAAATATACTCTTATCAATATAAACGTATATCACTAGACCTGGCATTTTATAACACAAATATACTCCCCAACGAATTTTACTCTAATAAACTAAGCACAGGCTGCTGTTTGTTTAAAATTAGCTCTTTGTGCCAAGGTTAGCTATCAACTTGTTCATTGAATTTAACATTGCCATTCTTTCCTCGTGGAATTCTTTTGCCCTTCTGTCTCGTTCGTCCTCGTATTTTTTCCTTTCCTCTTCCCTTTTCTTTTTCTCATCTTCCCTCAAATGTCTTTCTTGTTCAAGAGTTCTTCTCAGGGTGAGTAACTCCTCCACTAGTTCTGGGTAAGTCCTCCTCTCGACATCTAGATGGGCTGAATCTTCAACAACTTCGAGCAATAATGTTTTGTTTGGGTTATTGTCACTTAGGCCGCTTTGTTGCTGTTGCACCTGATTTAGGTCTAAATGAGTAATTTGTTCAGCCGGGCTCGCAGCAACCTCATCACATTCGCCAATACTCCTTTTCCTACCTGCCGACTTTCTCGATTTATTAGTTGTTTCAGGATATGTCCTAAGAGGAGGGGCTAGACCAAAAATTTCGTACAGCTCGTCGTAAAAGGGGCATCGTCCTGCCACATTGATCCCTCTTTCGGCTTTATCCAAAATCTTGCGGTAGGTTGCTTTCATGTTCTTCAGTTTGCATTCGCACTGCATTGGGTTCAAAGCAAAACCCAGATTGTTCATTTCTATGCATATTTCGTTCCATATTGCTTTCTTTTTTGTTGTTGGGTCTTTAAACTCTGCTTCCCTCTCCCTGTACAGTTTTAACAACTCTTCCACTTCTGGTACAGTCCAAACATGCGAGTGATTGACCACATCTGTTTTTAAGTTGCCATCCCTCTCTTCGAAAGTCGTAATCTGAGATTGACGAGATGCAGAATTGGAGGTCATTTTTATTAATTATGTGGAATCCCTAGATCCAGATTACGGATAATTGTAAAGGACTTTCCCAGATGTGTTTGTTGTACTAGTAGCACGACCCTGTAAAGCTATAAACAATTTCTTGGTTTCAAATCTTATCCTCAACGAATTTTTTCTGGAATCCGTAGCTGACTCTGAAAATTCTTGACACATTAATTTTACTTCTTCGTCACAATTATCACCGAAAATTCTGCTAGTAAGTGCTGGCAAATATTGCAAACTGGTTTCATTATTTTTCAATCCGACAACGATTTGCAGTTGAGTAAACTCGAGCTAAAATCTTCCATTAACTTTGAGTTATGGCTTGCAAGCCAAAGGCCTGCTTATGCGATCCTTTCCACGTTTGCTGAACGTGGAATTTGATGCATTCTTAGATTAGCTTTGCGATTGGCTGTGTCCATTGTTTTCGATAGATTCCATCATCTGATCGGGATCGCCGATTGGTTAACTTACAATGGATTGCGCTTTATCATGATCCGCAGCTATCCCCGATTGGCTGAGCTACAATTGATTGACAGAGGTTCATATACCAGCAGAGACGGATTTTTGAGGGGGGGGGGGGGGGGGGGGGGGCAGATAACGATCGGTGCCGTGCCACATCCTTCCTGTGCCTAGAAAACTATAGGAACGCCCATTTTTACAATTCTATTTCAACTTTAAGATAAATAAGGTAAAAAGATGAATTAAATTAAAATCTTGACGCCAATACAAAAAATATTTTTACCGAATCAAAGCAAAATTTATTGGGGATGGGGGTGTCACACCTCCAGGTAAGTGTCGCACCTCCTGTGTACCAAGTATACCGGCACAACTTTACAGTATGGCCCTAGGATCGAATTACAAATTAAGTGCAAATTACAAGGTCATTAAGCCTCATCTTTCACGAGCATCTTTCCTTGAAAAGTGTTATTTGCTCGTGCAGATTGGGTCAGCGGTAAAGTTTTTGAACATCAATCTTTTCAAGGTAAATCCATGACCAATCCATGCAATTTTCGGTCACGTGTGCGATCGCTCTCGCCAGGCTAGTCGAATCCCACGTCGATACTTGGGACATGTCTTTCAGTTCGAAATCAAAGTGCTATGACAGATCGCTAAACCCATCATATTTCGGATTCTCATCCTTTTGTAGTGATACACGAGCAGGGTTGATGCTCTGAATAAAGTAAGTCAATTTTTGTCCGTTAAAATAATTGTTTGCCCTTCATCTTCGCGGCAAGGGAATGTACAGACAGGCACTGCAGAGAAGGGGTGCTGGCGTAAAATGCAAAAGATTTGCCAATGAATAACCAGTCAAGCCACTTTTTATTTGGTTTTAATTCCCCCCCTTTTTTAGACCCCGCACTTTTCTCAACGCTCCGCGGTGCCTGACAGACTCCGCTGGGTAGATCAAGAATCAAACGAAAAGCCCCCATGGTGTAGACAGAAGGAGTTCGTTTCTCTATTGGACTCCTCTGGTAACTTTTTATAGGCACGCGCACTGATTGAACAAATTTGCCGGTCACGTGTTTGCATTTTTCTGATTAACCTATTTCGATCCACAACTGGGTATATATCTTCCATTGTGTTCTTTCGGACCCTTATTCTGACATTTTTAACTATGTGGAGCGTCAGACAAAAAATCTTTTAGTATGTTGTGAGATGTTCGCTTTTTTCAAAGCCATTTTCAAGTTCTGTGCTGCCCAAAAATTGTTCATATTATTCTTTTAGAACACATGCCTTGTGTTTTTGATCAAAATAATTTGAATTAACATTAGTTAAATTTTTAAAAATACAATCTAGCTTTAAATATTTTATTTTAGATCCTCTGTTCTTCAAACTTGTTTGCTTGATATTTCTGTTCGGTTTTACAGAACTGTTCTTAAAGCATCATCCGTTCTTTATTTATGAAATTTATTGATAATTTTTTTATCGTCTGTTTAAGACCTTGAAGTATATGGCCTAATATATTCTGTGAGGGAAGTTTTGTATTTTGCAAGTCTTTCAGACTATATTTTTTATATTTAAACACGATAAGAGCGATCAATTTTACCCTTGTAATTTTTAGTGAATATTTTTTCATCTTTATGTGCTATTTTTTATCGTGTTTGTAAACATGTCTCCTTTATTAACACCAAACCTTGGTATTACGAAATTGTTGATATTTTTTTGTTACAACTACTGCTATGTTTCATATGCCATGTCGACATCAAACTGAGCTAATCCCATTAAAAGTTCTATGATTTACATTGATATCATTAGTCTCAATCCAGCCTCTTTTCTTTGATGTGCTCTTTAAAAGTCTCAAATCTCTTTCCCAGTGGTCGGAAGGTGGTGACTCTTGCGAATGCATTCACGTGTGCAAAGGACATGCGGGAAGCGTCGACTGCATTGGATTTTCACCGGAAAGGCAAAAGGTATTTGTGACATTTAGGCCCTTTTCCTTCTCCATTTAGACACAAGTCCTTTTAATAATTCCATCACTTTTTCTGAGGCACTTATTTAGAGCTGGGCGCCTATTCAAGGGATTATTTGCAAACTTCAAGAAATCAACTGAAAAAATCAACAATAAATTTTGCACAAGGAACTGATAGCCAAGCAAGAGGTGTGCCAACACATATTCAAAATTTTGTGTTGAATGTTGCGGGGGAATTGGGCTATTGTTATGGCTTTTCATACTTTCAAGGGAGCAAGTGTAGTCATTGTGGTGGTAAGGTAAATCAATAAAAAACTATTGTTTTGGGGGCTTTAATTGGGAGTGGCGCTTATTAGGAACTTTATCTTCTTCGGAGGCGCCTATTCGAGGGAGGCGCTTATCGAGGAAAAACGGTACCTTTTGGGGAGAAATATTCGATGGATTGTTTGGTAGAAATGTTTGATAAGAATTTCGTGATAATAGAAGCAATATGAACTATAAGAAGTTTGTGTTGTAGTAAGCATTTAGAAATTTAAAAGGTTAGTGTTAATTTTTGCGAAATTGATTCAATTGTCAATCCTTTCTGTTCATCGGATTTTGAAAGTGTTTTGGTAAATATTGATGACTTTGTAAATGATGAATTTTCGCAAAGGAATGTGTTACCAAAAGTAGAAACTAGTTTACATGAAATATGTTTTAGTCGTTTTAATTGTGTTGCATACAAAAACAAGACCATAATTTTAGATGCATGAAAATGAGTGCATGAAAATATTCAGATCTTTTCAAAATAAACATATGTTTTTTGTTCGTTAGTTTTGTAGTGGATCTTGGGACAAAATGATCAAAATCTGGTCCGCAGGTTTGTGATTTTTTTATGATTAAAATGTGTTCAATCGCAAAAAACTGTTTTTTAATTGTTTTTTGCAAATGAAAGTTGAATCTATTCTTTATTAAAGGCTTATCAGGTCCAAGTAATAGTAACGGCAAGAAGCACTTGCCTTCAGTATTAATGGCATGGGGAGTGAAGTGGCCATAATCTTTGCATTTACAGAAGTTTAGAAAAAACTCTGTGGATAATCTGTGGGTAATATTCTGAATTTCTTCTTTGAAATTTATAATTCAACGACTTTGATTAAAACCTGGTTAATTTTCAAATTATCATTGGCAGAGATTTTGCTTCAAGATGAAGGGGAAAAATAGAATAACGCCAAAATTGACGAAAGTAGATCATGTTCACAAATTTAACTGGCAGTTGGATGGCCTTAGGGCTTACAATAATAATTCGAATGGAGTTTGGTCACATTTCGGTATCACGATGAGCTTGATGAAGAAGAAATCTTGAAGCACGCGTTGTCAACTTCGTTTTGATTTGTTCTACATTCTCAAGGAGGCTCTTAAATATTTTGTTATCTCGATGGTGAAGGAAAGATCAGTCAGTGAGTTTTTGATATTCTAGTGCCTGACAAAGAGGCCTCAGATGAAATAGATCCAGAACGAGATGAAGATCGGAAAAGGATCAAAGCTGAACCGTCAAGGCGAAAAGCAACAACTAGGGTATGTTTAAACAAGGATTAACAGTTTCATAAGGTCAAATAGTCCAAACACGATAATTTTTTGTTTGAAAAAATGAAACAGCTAGGCGAGAATAATATATTTTCTGTTAAAACTTAGTTTTGAAAGTGAAGTAGGTGCTTTGATATAATTGTTTTAAGCAGTAAATTTTATGGATGATTGCTTTGTATGTTAAAATTGTGTTTAGTACAAGGGCCCATTTATTGACTACATCAGCAGTATTGATTAGAGTCCGTTGTGGTTGTCATAAAGTGTTTACCGCAAGCATCTAGTTCTTCTCCTTTTTTTATTTAATGTTAAATTGAAAAGCATGATAATAGGAAAGGTCGAAAGGTTCTGGTGTCTCTTTTCATAATGGAAATCTAAATTTGGTTTATTTTCCCAGCAAAGCTACTTTGCTTAGATAATATTCGGTAGACAGTGTTAGGATAGTATTTACCTTTCGCGCTCTATTCTCTCTTAAATTTCACAATCATATTCTTCGAATTTAGTTTTTGATAAATTTAAGAAGAGACCTTTGTTGCTTCTTAGAGTTATTATGTTTTCCAAAGCATATAAACTCTTGAGTTTCTAACATGCCCTTCGTCTATGAATTTCTTTTTATGTCCATGTTTTCCCCTTAACACTTCCTGTATCTATAAGGAAATCGCTAGAAATGTATAGATCGCATGTAACAAAGCCCCAAGAGCACTAGACATATCGTTAAGTTTACTTATTCAAGTATGTTGGCTGTGTTAGTATTCTGAAACAAAGGCAATATTTCCACTTAATGGAGGCTTTTGACCAGATCGAGCCGTTAATATGAGGCCACCAACAGTAAAATTTTATTTGTTAGAAAGTTGTTTATTGGTTGAATATTCTTCATAAATCTGTTTTCAGATATAATCTGGAACTTATTTTACAGATTTTATTTTTGCCAGTTTTTGAATTATGATGCGTACAATATGACCATCACAACATCTAGACTTTCATCCTTGCAGACGCCGCTTCAAACCATGTCTGGTCACACTGAAGCAGTCTCCTCAATACAATGGGTTGATGCTACAGATATTATCAGTAGTGGCTGGGACCACTGCATTAGAGTTTGGGATGTCCAAACTGGTATCAATAAAAATAGTTTGGTAAGCTGCTTGAAAGCTCAATATTTTAAAAGACATACAATCCCTGCCTAAAGTCTTGCAACTCTAACGTCTGTTTTCAAGAGCAAATTCTGACATCCCTCTCCTTCTATGAACAATTTTTGTTTCTATAAATTGACAAAGAAGATCAGGAAGTGTGTTTTGCATGTGACTATCAACTTTATTTTGGGAAAATAGGGGGCGGAAATATTAATATATGGGGAAAAATGAATAATATGATATTATACAACAGTAATTGCCCGGTGTTCAAAGTTTGCCAGGTATTGTAGTTCTTAACAAGAAGTCTGTGACGTTGACAATCTTTGTGACAGGCGAGAGGAAAACTGATAACTTTACTCCCCCTCTATGACTAAACTCTCATACGAGTTTAAAGCTTTGTCCTCAGAGTCTTTCGAGTTACTTTTATATGAATAGAATAGTTTGAGAACTTACTATGCAGGGATGGAAGTAGAATCGGTGTAATTGTGAATGGCACATATATGTTTGTGATTATTTCAAGAGAGACAAATTGTTGGTAAAAGCTTGTTATCTTAATGAATTTGATCCATGTGTTATTGAAAATAATTCTCCAACCTTGAGTATCAATCCATGATTGTTCAAAAAGTTATTTTCTAAAATACTTTTGTTTGAGAAGTGCTGCAAGGCATGCATGTGTTCCCGCACTCTTTTCCCATGAGAGCCAGACGGTCACAAGTACAGACTTTCTTTATGAGACGTCAATACTTGGTTGATTTTCCTACATCAAACACTATTTATCAAAGAAATAGCTTAATTGCTCAAAGAAAGTCAGAAGCGATAGATCGTCGGTCTTTATCTCCTCCTTGCTATGGTCATTTTGCTGTATACTGCTCCATCGCTCTTATGCATCTATAGCGAAGGCTCGGCATCCATCGGAGAGAGAGCTGACTTTTGTTTTGAGATTACTCAGAAATTTGCTCTAATATCTTTGTTTTTGCCTCTAGCCTGGGAAAAAAGTAATTACTAGCATATCACATTCCAATTTGTCTGGACTTATTGCTTCTGGAAGTACAGATAATTACGTCCGATTATGGGATCCGAAATCCGAAGGTATTTATGTAATAATGTTTGTTGGTGTTCTGAACCTTTTTTGATAAGCATTTCTTGTTTTTGTTGAACCAGAAGTGAAAAGAAAATTGGAACTCGGAAACGTTGTTCCCAGAAATTTTTCTGGCTGAAAATGTTTGCACACAGAAAATGTTTGAAGTGTTAAAGTAAATTTAAAAATCTGGTGACATAAGTTAAGTCAAATTAGCAGAAAACATTATTTCAACTTGCCTGCGAGCATCTAAATCTTAGCATAGTCTCTTCCCATTGGAAAGAAATTCTTTGTGCACATTACTTACGCTCACCATCTCACAGAAATCTCAGCCACTCACCATCAAAATATTTTTGGCAGCTAAGCTTTTGAGACAAACCATGATTCAGACTGAGATTAATATAGGTTCTGGAATCTACTTACACAGAAGATATTTCTTGCACTATGGTGTGAACAGCATTGATCATAAGTTGATATGCTTGGGTAAATCAATTTGGTGCATGTTAGGACTCCATTTCAACCATATCTTGCTCCTCACTTGTCAAAGATCAGACTATGTTAGGCCTTCTCCATAAAATCCACAATACAATTCAGATGATTTTGCCCCTGATTCTTCTGAAACTATGTATGGAGGTTATTGCATGGATTTTCCTTTTGATTTTCGTTTTTCCGTCATTATGGTTGACTAAATGAACCAATTTCTGGCTAAAGTTGATTTCCCTTTTATGTGTATGTATGCATTAAGTAACTCAGAGTCAGTTTCATATAAACATCTCTTGAATTTCTTCAGCTAAATACAGTATTAAAGACACAAACAGAAAGTTTATTTGTCTGCCCTTTAAAGTCTTGCAGAAAGTTTTGAGCTAGATAGAAAAGGTTCCCAGAAAGAAAATTATTTTTCCACTCTGGTGCTGGCTCTTGAAGAATCTCTTATTGTTGCTGCATGAAAATGTTTTCTAACAAAAGATTTTTCATATTACTGACATCGCCTGTAAATTTTCATATTGCTATTACCGTTACGCGCAGACTAATTTTTGTGCTTCTAAATCTGAAAAAATAAATTTTGTTTAAATAAAAAGTGGGTTTATGCATTGCTTTATCTACTAAGATGCCCGTAATATGTCTGTGTCAATAACACAGTTTGGTTTCTTTGTTTTTTTGTAGATGGAATGATAGTGAAATCTACACTTTCGTCCCACCAAGGCTGGGTCTCCTCTGTCTGTTGGTCACCAACAAGCCAATATGAGTTGTTATCTGGCGCATACGATTCCAAGGTGAAGGTCTGGGACATACGAAGGTAACTTTCTTTTTGCCTACTTTGTACAATAGAAGACAAAACTCGAAGGTTGGGGTAAATTATTTACAAGAAAAAATTAAACACGAGCAAGTTCGTTGCTGATAACTTTAGATTTGATGGACCTGAAACTGAACTTTCACAACCTAAAAGGCTTAGAATTCTGCTCTGTCTACTGTGGTAAAAAAGGGAGAAAGTTGGTAGCCAATCCTAATAGATTATCTACAGCACAAAATGTCTTCGTGGAAACTATTCATGAAAAGCCAATTTAAATAGATATGGATATAACTCTTATAGCTGTATCAAGCACCTGTGAAGTTTGATTTATTAATTGTACTACCTCAATCTAAATGGTGTTTGGCACTTTAACAGAGGTTATCCTGAAATATTTTTAGGTCGATATAGGCTGAGACCATAAACGTTTGGGGTGCTGTTTGCCCATGTCGTCAGCAAGGAGATTTAGGAGATGATATAAACCCTAATCTTCCCCTCGGAGAACAGCACTAGTTAGTGCACGATTTTTAATTAGAAGCTTAACCAATGTGCTCTCAAACTATAACATTAATTTGTGTTCCAAAAGAGATTTCATCCTCAAGTACATCTATTTTAACTTTTTCTCATTATCATTACAAATTCCTTCTCTTAAAAGCTTAAGTTTTTCTATTTCTTTGACAAACTTTGAGGTTGGAATCCAATAGCCATTAAAACCCAAGTAATTCATTAACCTTGTTTTTGTTAGTCCTATTTCTATATCACAAAATTGTTCTTTTCACATGGCGAAGTGACCCGTATAATATTTGTTCTCTTGATGGTTTTCAGACAGATATTTTTTTATAAATATATTGCGACATATGTTCCCAGCCTTTTAATACATTGAAAAACTATATTTTAATAATGAATGTATTAGGAATAGGGTGAAAAAGTAATGTCGCCAAGAAGAATCCATTTGATAAATATTTTGTGTCGAAGCCATACAAATTTGAGTACACAACACATAGTCACATATGTAAAAATCACCAATTGTTTTATGAGCCGGCTCTTCTTCCTGGTCACTATGATTTAGTCGTTTTTTTAAAGATTTATGAAACAAGCCTAGAAACAGTAACATTTTATTAAAAAGCAGCTCTTTTGCTGTTCATGTTGCACCCAATTTGCAACAAATATAACTGATTTTGCACATTTTGAGATATTTTGTGTTTTACTTTTAGACTATGTAGTCTAAGTTCAAATGATCTAAAAATGGATTTTATGATATCACTGCAAAACCAATCTTTACTAGGGCCGCTTTGTAATATTTCAGTTCAATGCAAGATAATCTAATTGAATATGGGACATTGTTTTCTGATTTTACTACCGACAGTATCAGCTTTGTTCTGCAAATTTTGCAATGAGAGTTTTCCTAAATGACCCTTAAACCCTTATTTTGGTGTGTCCATGAACCTGATAATTTTGATGCTGTATCCATTATTATGCTGAAAGTTGTTACCTTTAAGCACCCAGTCTTGCTTGCACACGCTGGAATGTCACCAAGATAAAGTTATGTGCGTTGCTTGGAAAGAGCCTGAGGTGAGCGGATTCTACATCCGTTATTAGCATTGAAGTAAAATTTAAGTGTACACTAACTGAAAGATCTGCCTACTGTCGTTCGTATGAAATTTGCTTTCCCATTCAATGATTATCAGAGGTGCTTTTCTCCTGAAGTTACACACATTGCTCTATATTTTTATATGTTTGATTCTCTCTTTCCTTTGATAGCCACAACTTCGAGACCAGCTCACGACGTTCTTAGATCTTACTGCTGAGAAAATCTCATTGCATTTTCTTTGCTATTCAAAAGAAACGACACGCTATAAATTTTTTCTTCAGGTACTTCTCAGTGGTGGAGCAGATAACCAATTAGCTGTTCATATGTACAACAAAGGAGGCACTACGTCCAAAGAAGAATAGTTCTGCGTATGTGATGTTTTAAAATCCCCCATTTGTGATTCTGTAAGCAGTGAGCGTTAGGCCAGTATAGCCTTGCAATCACTGCCTTTTGGCAGCAAGATATTCTTAGCCTTTCGTGAATTCAATGCGTGTTGAGGACAAGCTTTTCATAGTATTCGCGAGAAAATTACGAAAAGCAAAACTGCCTGGTTTCAGAAAAGCATTTTAACTGAGCTCTACTTCGCTACTTGCCTAACCATACTGCGAAAAAGCCATGCTTCATACACCATTTGAATATTGTATGAAGTGAAACTGTGTACTCTCCATACTGTGTATTTGGTCTAGTTTTGGCTGCCCATAGTTCTGTAATTACCAAGGTGGCTGCAAATAAAGGCCTCTGGAGGCTTCGAGTGGTTACCGAGTCCTTGCGCAGCAACATTACGTCATAGCATTTGACTAAGGGATTTTATTGAGGTTAGTGTTACAATGTGAACAGTTAATGCTATGTATAGGGCGAATTTAAATTTTCGCGACTCCACAGTTTCAGTTGATATATTGCATTGTGTGGAGAGTCATAAATGTGCTGTAGTTGAAGTAAGATCAACAAAGGAACACGGCTTTGTTCGCGCTATTCGGTTTGACGATGTTTTCTTGGCCCTTCCAAGTTTCATCGTGGTAAACGTTCGACATTTTTAACATCTGGTTCTTCTCCACCTCTTCTTAGAAATGACATTAACTGCCAATCTTAGATGCCATTGCCTTTTGGTTTTAGCTTCAGATGTTATTTTGCATTTGAGAAAGATGCATCGGAGAAGATATCTACCTTGTTTGTTTTGCTCGGTGAGGATGTGGTCGCCATTTGTTTGAACATAGCGGTTGACGGTTGATCAACAAACAATAGGAAAAATCTCTGATGGACACGCACTTGTTGTTGGCGATCAATGAAAGATTTATAGATGCATATGTCATAATGTTACATATATTTTGAAAATTGATGCTCACAGATGCTTAGTTAGGTTTTATTATTGAAATTTGTTCCTCGTAACTGGATGCAAATAATTGAATCTAATCTTCCCAAAGTTTTTTAGCCGTGTACAATTAAGTATCGCATGTTCTGCAGCCACTTGCAACTGTACTGAATATGTAACGGGCTGATATCGCGTCCTGTATTGATGTTCTATGTATTGTGGGAGAGCCTGAATGATGTTCTATGTAGCAAGATGATTAAACTGAATGAGCAGTGTCCTCCTTGGATATTATCTGAGCCTATTTGGGCAGAGCTGTTGATAAACATCTGCACGCAAAGAACAATAGGCGAATGATAAGCAATCTTAATAAGTCTTAATTACATGTCAAGTAATGTAGAGTCATGTCAGACATTAGTATTACTGTCCAGTGATGGATAGTTATTCAAATGTCTAAAGTGTGTGGAGGAAATGCGGAAGACCCTAATTCACTTAAAACTGTATCTTTTTCGGCATCTATAAAGATATATCTGGGTCACATATCCTCTATAAGCATATTTAGGCCCAGGGCAACCGCCTTACTTTCCTACAGAATATACACGTTCTTATAGATCAATTCGAAGTTTAGTTTACAAAATGCAGGTAACTCAGGTCCTAATACGATAGATAGTTTTATCTAGCTGATAGAAATGGCTGTTGCATGCTATCAATGTTACGCTTTTTTTTAAAAAAATTTGCTTAGCTCAAAATCGCATCATTGAGTTCGGGCCCCTTGAATGAATTTTCTTGTGTTCAGTATCGTCATTTTTTCCTGAAAAAGTATCTATTTAAATAACGCTTGCTATCTGGAAAGTTTTTTTGTTTAATTTTTGGGTTAAGCTATCTTACCCAGCTTTAGATTTCTTCTGTGATTTTGATGATCTTCTTTCTTACTATTATTAGTCTGTGTTTAGTTCAGAAAATTACTTGAGTAAGCAAGCTAAGGGTAATTGTTGATACTGAAATGCCACAATATCGTATTAAAATGCCACAATATCAATGTTTGATTCCCCTTCCAATGTCCTGTCGGATATGTACAGATCATCAAAGGTGTCTAGTGTATCATGTGCGTTGCTTTCATTGTGTAAAATAGGCTTTGGATTATATGAGTCTGAGAAAGCCATTACCTTTGTCATGATGCCAGCAAGTATTGCTCTTTGGCTCTATCTTTAAGAGCTTTCTCCATAACTCAGCCATGCGACGGAACCTTTTTCTTGGGGTGTCTCCTGCTGACATTAGAAAAAGGCTAAGGCTTCAATCAGGTTTGATATCTTCATCAATTTTTATGATTTAATGAAGAGGCGATTTAGAGGGAAAACCATTTTTAGAAGAATAGACAATGGTTCAAAAATAATAGTTCGGAAAACCCCACTGAAGAAACTTTTTTTAAAAAGCAAAGTTTTTAAAAGAAATTGAATCTGACTGCTTTACTCAAGCTTGGTAGTCATCGTAATTACTGATTCTTTTATAATTTGCTTTCACACTGTAAAAAAGCTATCCTTTCATTTTTTCTGAAACATAGCTCATTTGTAGTTAACATTCCAAAAGTACTGTCCGGAAAATTGGATCCGCTTTAAAGTACCAGAGATAACACAGCTGTCCTTCTCAATACTCAAATGCTTTATTTCATGTCGTTAGTGGCCAGTGGCTCAAGGTATTCGTAAGCGGGATCTTTTGAAATATAGATAACTTTTTTCTTAGTTGAATGCAATCAATGAAATGGTCATAACGACCGGACAACCGTGATCATAAGCCTGGTTTTTACATAGACTATCTGCAACAGTCTTGCATATAACATCAAAACGCAAGCTTGTCAAGTACACAAAATAAACAGTGTATCTTGTTAGCAATATCGGTGAAAATCAATTGTATCTAACAGAAATATTAGTCGGCAATATTTATGGCTCAAGGCTCAGTCAAAACTTGAACCTGAAGAAGTTGACCCGTTGACTGAAAATCTGGAATGATGACGTTGAATGCATGCGGAGGTTGCGGAGGGACTATACTTAAAAAAAATTGATGTTAGTGCTGAATATTCTATGCTAGTGCCAACGTCCAGCAAAATGATGTGCTAGTCTTTTTTGGAGGGGAGGGGAGCGTATTTCAATGGAAGACCCCTAATTGCAATTTATTTCTTCCAACAAGCAATTATGAGAAACGTCGGCTTGTGTCAATGTCGTATCATTTTCATTATTTGAATTTTCTAGTAGAGTGAATTTGTTCGTAACGCACACACACGTTGCTTTGAAGCTAAGAAAGAATCAGTCACTATAATCCCACAAGTGCATTACTAGCCACACTAAATGTTATCACTCGTAAAATTTGATAATAAAAGAAAACACGGGTATCTTTGATTTCATTGCTAAGCATTTAACAGTGATTGATAGGAATATGATTATAAATGTTTATCGTGTCCTTTGAGTATGGTAAGTCTTCCGAAAATTGAACGACTGTGTAAATTTTACCAAGTTTACTAGAATCCTGCTCAAGCAAATAGAGGTATTTTGCTTTTTAGTAAGACTGCTTTTCAAGACAAGATCCGCGTTTATCAGCAAGTAGGTCAGAGGTAAGAGAATGTAGAAAGAGCTGATTATGTTTTCATCGATGATGTTTCCTTTTGTTTGATGTAGTTTAATGAGTGTGCATCGAAAATTTCACTGTTAGTAGGAAGTAGAAAATCAAGGGGCGAGAGAACAGCCTTGCGGGATTCCATGAAATTTTCTGTTTTTTCAGATAACTTCCCCGGAAATTTCCCTAATGTTGTTTTCTGGCCATGTCTGATTTCCCACTTTTTGGCCTATCCTTTATCATCTATCAGGTCCGGGTAGACTCATCAGTTCTTGCAAACTAATGCTACTCTTTTTCTGGAACGCAAATCCTGCGCACTCATTGATATACATCAAACACAGGGGAACATCACAGAGGAAAATAGTAACAGCACTTTCTATGTACATTTTCAGACAATTTACACAGTTGTTCAATTGTCTGAAGACTTTCCATACTTCATTGATAATCTTGCCTACCGTTTTCAGGCATATTGAGCCTCTATGTCGTTAGATTTTTTACATTTTGAATAACTATTTTAATGATTACATAACCCTATAGAAAAGAGGTAGGCTGATACTTTTTTAACGTCGATGGTTTGGAGTAAGAAAACGGAAGAATCACGAAAAGCATTAGCGTGTGATGGTACTGTTTTAAGAAGTTCACCTCTTGGCTTCTTTTGTATTTCCTCGCCTCTCCTGTACTAGACCGTTGCGCAAACTCTTATTTGAGGAAACTCTGGCAAGTTTACCAAACAAACTTTAATCAAACAAACAAGAGAACAGACGCTCGCCTTTCTTTCAGCAGGGAATTCTTTGAATTCGCAGACGAGCGTTGCAGGCCACGGAAATATAGGTATAGTTGTTTGTTGGTTCCTCCGTCGCAGTCTTATGTAGCCGCCCGCGCGAGAGTGGATACGGACGGACGCCTCGGTGCGTGCTTCGCATAACAGCGCCTTCGCTTCAACAAACATTGCCGCTAGAATTACAATTATATGGAAATCTGCGGCTACGAAGTGAAATACATTCATCTCATAATATGTTTTTTTTAAGGATTAGAAATATTTGCACAAGGATACGGGCATACAATTCCAATCTTCTCTGTCGTTTGTAAGTAAAGATGTTGTGTAAAGCTGCGTAAGATCAACGAATGTTGGTTTGCTACGCAAGGAAACGACTTTTAACAAGATTGTCTTTGCATTGACAATACATGTTGTTGATCCGGTCAAAGTCTTTCAAGACCGAATCCTTCCAGCCAATTTTCAGAGTCTTTTGAAGATTCAAGATAATGTAATCTTCTTTAATTTCTTTGAATCGCTCTTTATTTTCCCATGGATTTTTAAAAAATTCGCAAGATATACTTTGTGGAGCGTAGGAAAGCACTACCTGTTTTCCGTGGAAGCAGTTAGATACGGTAGCCATTGTTGATCGCGAAAAGGGTCTTCCTTTCTAATAGTTTATCAAGAAAGTATCAAATAAGATAAAATGTATGCTGTAAATCTGCTATTTATTTTGCCGAAAGACTGTCAGTCACAAATCTTATTTTGTAAAGAATGCTGATGATTAAAGGTTGCTAGTTTATGTTAAACAGACTATCAAACAAATTCATGATAATTGATTCTGATCAAAACCCATATCTTCATTATGTCACTTAAGATGTAAAGGTTAAGCAACCACGTTTGTTTTTTTTTTGGTGGCTTATAAACAGTCAAATTTGTTATAGCTGTAAACTGCTAAGAACCGTCCGAAATACCCTTCGCTGCGATGCAATTTTGGAAGAGACAAGAGGATATCGTTACTGAAGACTCTTTGCATTTATGGTTTAATAGAAAGATTGGTTGTTGTTTAGGAGTAGCACCACCAACCAATTGAATGGGGGTGATCACCGACATGTCAACACAAAATTTCGTTGCTCTCAAATGAAATTCGTGATCCTTATTATAAGCAGCAACCATTAGACTCAACCCCTTTCTGTTAGGCCCACTGTCCACACTCTATTAAGCCTCCCTTCGATGCTGCCAGGAAAATAGCCCCCCCCCCTGTGGCTTAGTAAAGAATTTACGGTAAGGACCGAGGAATGGACATCCAGTTACTTTATTTTCTACACTTCGAAAAATAAGTTGAGGTTTCGGGATTTAGAAATTAAAGCAAGGATGTAAAAAAACTGAAACGAGGATTACAGACTTTAATTGTAGAGCTCAAAACTGAAACAACGATTTCAATAGCTCACTCTGGGTTTAGGAATTGAGATGAGGATTTCAAAACTGACTTTAGATTTTCTAAAGCTAAATTTAAGCTTGGCGCTTCTCGACAACGGTACGAAAGTGTTGTCATTATCTCTGAATTCCTGGGTGGTGCAAATGATAATTCATACGTATTTAAGAATTCCTTATCGTATTTTCTGGTTTGAATGTTTCTGAGATTTGTAACCTGCAAGCTTTAAATAGATTTTAGTTGAGTCAAATTTCTTTGTCTTTGAAATAGCTTAGTGAATATTTCCTGTCTTCTTTCCACCTCAGCATATCTTTATATATCATGTCTTTTTATTCAGAATTTGACGGGTTTGAAATTTTTTGACAGCATAGAGGGTATCTAAAACCCAACCGGGTGCCTGCTTCTCTTCAATGCTGGCGGCTCACGCCACGATTCTAACCAGAACGTTTGAGGTGTTGACCATGAATAATTGGTAGTACTTTTTTGTCATCATCTCTTTTTTAATACCTGGTGTAAAACTTATAGGATGGAATCACGAATCTATTACGTCTATGCTTCTTCTTTGAAATCTTATTCAAGCTGATAATTGAATGTCAGGCTCTAATATTGACATGGTTTTCCTGAAATAATTTTCAGGAGCCCTTTTGGTTCAAAAATAAGTTTTTAATTAAAGAACTTCAGTGCATTGCCAGTTATAAAGAAAAAAGAACGGGTAGCCATTCCCCATTTCATTAAGGTAGATATTTCAATAAACTTTTCAAGGCCACTCTCTCTCCTCGCCTCACTTTTTTAAAGAGGAAATAAAAAGATGTTTTTGTCACTAGTCAGAGTGAGTCAAGTATGTAAAGTATTTTCTTCAGTTTTTCCTCATTGCCTAAGAATGAAAATCAGACTGCTCTTTTTCAAGGGCTTGTCCATATGGGGGGATTCCATCCTACTTACTGCTTCATGGTTTTTACAGTATCGTCTTTAAAAGAAACGAAATCAAGTCTTATTTTAGCAAGTTTCCTCTAAGAAGGTTGTAAACTTTCTAATGATCGCAGTAACAAGGTAGAGTCCCTTCGTGTGGATTCGAGTATGTGTCTCTTGGAGACAAAAATTAATGGTCTGTGGTTCTATTTCTGTCAGTTAAAAATTTCTCA